GAATTTTGGTTCAAGTTTGATTTTATTTTATTTGAATTTGAACTTTAGAAATCATTTAGGTTTTTGTTCAGGTCCCCTGCTCGTGTTCAATTAAGTTCAAAAGTCCACAAGTCATTGTTCATTGGAGTCCATCTTTTGTTCTTTTTGAGTTCAAAATAGGTTCGTGTAGTAATATTTCACCCAAAATTTCGGCAACCTCCCGGCGTCTCCCCTGTTTAGGAAAAAACTATGGAAAACTGGGCCTTTCCCACCACGCACAATAAAGGCGTGCATGGTAGGTGCCCTCTTCCGAGGACACCGCGGTTGTGTAAAGTATTTGTCCCACCACGCCAAGAAAGGCGTGCATGGGTCTTCTGTATATGTTACAAGAAAAGAGCAGTTGTTTCTCCGTAGGTACAGAGTCGTGTGCGGGTACTTAAGAGTTGTCCCGGCCATGCTAAGAAAAGCGTGCACCAGTCTTACCTAGCCTCGTCGTGTGCGTCGCACCAGGTTCCCTCCTAGCACGCTCAATAAAGGCGTGCATAGGTGATTTGCCGGCTCGTCGAACACACCGAGGACAGGATTTTGGGGGCCGAGGGGTCGCTCACTTACCTCGTCGTAGGTGTCGCACCAGGTTTCCTCCTAACACACTCAATAAAGGCGTGCATCGGTGGTTTGCCGGCCTGACACGCATGTCGAGGTAAGAGAGGGCATAAAAATCAAAGCAACACATTTTTTTAAAAATAATGACAATAATAATAATAATAATAATAATAATGATAATGAACATTATTATTATTATTATTATTATTATTATTATTATTACTCTCTCTCTCTCTCTCTCTCTTCCTTTCTCTATGTGGACCGAAGATATGAGAATGTCGGGCGCAGGAGTCGGTTCGCACTGCTTCCGATCCGACTAGAAGGGTGAGTCAATGGAGGAGCGAAGTCGAACAGCATCAGAGGGGTCGGAGAGGCAGCACGAAGGGGAGAAAGCTACTTCACAGTGAGCGGCTCCCGCGATTGCTTCCAATCAAACTGTCGTGATTTCCGATCCTCCTTAGCAAGCGAGCCCCGATCGTTGCTCCTGATCAAGGTTTTTTGACTCCCGGTCCTCAAGGGAGGTAAAGTCGTTGCATAAGCGATATTGGATAGCCATGAACGAAGCCGAAGCAGCGACGTCTGCAGTCTCTACACCTTCTGCGAAATCACGAAGCCGAACAACAACGAAGGAGGAGAAGGGGCGAGAGAGATCGGGATCCTGAATGAGGCCGAAGGCCTCCTTTTCATGGCCATTTAACGATGCGAGCTCATCGTGCAGAGTCGTGGCGGATGCGACGTCGATCGTGCGAGCGACATGCGAGGGGTGCGTACGTCGTGCAACGTGGGATGCCAAAGCAGGTGAGGTATTTGATTTTTTATTTCTTTTTTTTTTCTCGGTACAGCAGGTCAACAAAAAGACAAATTATAACTTTTATAGGATAAAGACTCTTACAAACAGCGCTTACAAACTTTTAAAATAAAGACACCTTAAACACCTAAGCTAGCTTTTCGTTCTCTTTGAGAAGAAAGGTACAAGTGGCATCGAACTTGCGAATAGAAGAAGTAGAATAGAAGCTGAGATGAAATAAAGGAGAAGCTCGCAGGTTTTCCTAGAAGAGGGGAAGGGGATACATAGCTCGCAAGCTATAAAAGAAAACCCTTAGGTTTCTTTCCAAAAATCAGCGCACATAGCATCTCTCCAAAACCTCCTTTAAACATACAAAACATCTCCTATAAATAGAAGAAAAGGGCAGCCAAACAGCCACCTAAAATTCCCAACCAAACCAATCAGCTAAGGGGAAGAGGAAGGGCAATAGACACCACAAAATAGCCCCCAAAATATGCACAGGAAAAAGGAAGGGAAGCCACTTGAAACACAGCCAGGGAGGGACCTGAAGAGCCAACACATAAAACGGAAAGGAGATGTCATGAGAAAGCAACCAGGGGAGAAACCGAAGAGCCCACACAAGCACCCAGCAGGTTTCACGGGAACAGCACAAAGAAGGAATCGAAGAGACACAAGAAGGGTAAGAGGCAAGGATTTAACTCCCATAATGAGCTCAAACATCAGCTCAAACATTTATGAGCTAGAACCAAGAATATACCAATTTTTTAGCTCAAAACCAGTGCAGCCAAAGCCCAACCCTAGAGCAGCCAAGGCCCAAAACCAAGAGGCAGCAAGAAGCCCAAAACTTGCCTACATCAATTCTCCTTCGGTTGAAAGAATTCATCTCCCGATGAGTTGTCTTTTGATTTCTTCTAAGGAGGTAAAGAAGGTGCCTCAAGGTCTTGATTTTTGCCGCATACCTTTTCAAGACCATGTCTCGTTCTCGCTTGAATTATTCTTACAGACACTTCCATTTCTTCAAATTATTTTCCATACTCATATGCAACCACAACTGAAGTTTGTATAGATCATTCTGCAGGGGATCTGTCGAATCACCTTCTGTCGGAACCCATCTGTCTATTGAAATAATTTCTTCGATATCTTTGGATTGATTTTCATCCACCATTGGATCACTGCTTTTATCTTTTTTTCATTTTTTCTAAAATAAGACTCAACAAAATTTAAATCATTTGATAACAAGACTCACACAACAACTGATATGACTCACCAAGACTCACTACTCAAACCTGCTCTGATAACAAATTGATGCAAGCAAAAATTTGGGAAAAGCCTCAAATTTTTGCAAGCAAAAGAACACGCTTCCTAGGATATATAAAATTACATAAAATACTCAAAACTAAACAAAATACGACAAAATAGACAAATTATAACTTTTTATAGGATAAAGACTTACAAACGACGCTTACAAACTTTTAAAATAAATACACCTTAAACACATAAACTTGCTTTTCATTTGCTTTGGAAGAAAGGTACAAGTGGCATCGAACTTGCGGATAGAAGAAGTAGATTAGAAGCCGAGACGAAATGAAGGAGAAGCTCGCAAGCTTTCCTAGAAGAGGGGAAGGGGATACATAGCTCGCAAGCTATAAAAGAAAACCCTTTGGTTTCTTTCCAAAAATTAGCACATAGCATCTCTCCAAAACCTCCTTTAAACATACAAAACATCTCCTATAAATAGAAGAAAAGGGCAGCCAAACAGCCACCTAAAATTCCCAATCAAACCAATCAGCTAAAGGGAAGAGGAAAGGCAATAGACACCACAAAACAGCCCCCAAAATCTGCACAGGAAACAGGAAGGGAAGCCACGGGAAACACAGCCAGGGAGGGACCCAAAGAGCCAACACAGAAAACGGAAAGAAGAGGCCACGGGAAAGCATCCATGGGGAGAAACCGAAGAGCCCACACAAGCACCCAGCAGGTTTCATGGGAACAGCACAAAGAAGGAACCGAAGAGACACAAGAAGGGTAAGAGGCAAGGATTTAACTCCACATAATGAGCTAAAACATCAGCTCAAACATTTATGAGCTAGAACCAAGAAGATCCCAATTTTTTAGCTCAAAACCAGTGCAGCCAAAGCCCAACCCGAGAGCAGCAAAGGCCCAAACCAAGAGGCAGCAAGTAGCCCAAAGCTTGCCTACATCAAAATTGGAAACTTCCAAATAAATTCATGACCATCCAAACTCCGATTTTAGCAAGCTTTATAGTCAAATTGAATTAGAAATTCTCCCTGATATTTTCGTATTCATAATAATCTCAAGATATTTCTTTATTTTAACTATAAAATATTGACTTAGAAATTATATCCTCACTCTTTTATATAATATATCCAAGATACTTAAATTATCACACCAAAGTATTATCTTCTAAATATTTTTTTCATTGCTTCAAATTTTTACGATCTTCAACAATGATATCACCAATTAAAATTATAATATGAAAAAAAAGCATACATGAAGATACTTAACATTGAATATCCTTTGCAACACCTTAAAAAAAAACAAAGATACAACTTAATATTGATCCTTAACGTAAACTATCACAATTAGTACTTCCATGGACACACTATAACTACTTCTAACGTCGATGCTCCATCATATAGGTCATTCAACATAACTTTAACACATGCCTTTTCCTCAATGCATACAAAACAAATTCTCATCATAATTGACCATACGTATTCTTTAGATTAATCAAAAAATCATTTGAATATCTTCTCAAATGATTTGGAGCCATCATAGTTCTCAAAATTTTACTGAAAAAAATGTGAAGCAAATTACTTCATTGTTAGATCATGTTAACAAGACAATCTCTTAGGTCACTCATCCAAAACAACACAAAACAAAAATAGTAATAAAATTTGAGACAAACATAGAAATCCAGTTGGGTCCATCATAATGAGTTCAAGCAATAATTCAACCTGAACGTTATGCTATTAGTAGTTGCAAATCAACAACTAATATTCCTACCAACAGTCAAAGATGGGAGTAAACTGTTTGTGCACACATTCTGTAGACAAGAGCTCCCTCAACAGCATCCATAAAACCCATCAGTGAAAACCTGTATTTTATCCAGCACCAGTGCCCAAGAGAAACTCTATTATGTCCAAGTAGCACTGGAGTCAAACGCTAGAAATCTTTTGTTAATGATTTTTATCTCCTTTGATTTTCAAAACCTAGCATTTCACAAACTGATATACTCGAAAAAAATGACAAAAATTACTAAACAACACAGACCTCCACAATGGCTACATAACCATGGGATACAAACTTATAAAGCAACTCGTCCATCTCTGCAATCTGATGATTTTAAATATAAGTCATGAAAGAAGTACCATAGCATTATTAGATGAACAAATTTAAACCACGCATGATGGTTGTGCAGTTTGTCAAAATGGTGGAGACAATAATGTATATTGCATGGCTTTCTTATATATAAGAAGGCACTGCATTAGAAATGACTAGCTTAGTAAGTGGAACAAAGAATGTTACTCAAAAAGAGAAACAAGCCCGCACATGAAGAAGAAAAGAAGAGAAGGTACTAAGAACTTAGAAGGTTAGTAAGCTGGACAACCTTACTTCTCTTAATGTGTCATAAAAACCACCAAAAATGATTATTTTATGCTTGTAAATTACCTGAAAAGAAAAAAAAAAACTCGAAGTGAGATTTGCTACAGAAATTGAGCTCACTGCCTAACATGCACAAACAAAATGTTAAATAGGAAAATAAGTATATCATTTTATCGAGCAGTCAAATGCATGTTTTGGCAGAGAAATGGCGCAGTGCTATTTCATGCCATTGTGCCACTGATCCTCATTGGCATGTTCTTGGTATGGAACTTAAGAAATACAAATATAAACTATATACAATTATCCAAGATATTATGCAGCACTCAATAGTAACTGTCACTTCAAACGAAGAGTATGGAAGGCTTTAGCAGTATTTCTTCTGTAAGATGCTTTAGAAGTTCACTGACATGTAATATGGGTTTTCATATTATCTGCCTCGACAAATAAAGACACCATAAGTGAACGAATTCAGACTCTTCCCAACCATATATCTTTAAGATATTCAAAGTTGTCCATTTAGAATAATAAAGAGCAAAGTCAAAAAAATCACCTCTATTTGTAGGAGTACATATACTTTCATATCAAGGTTGCTTCTGCTCATTGACACTATGTAGCCAAGCAAATTAAATACACTAAATGCATGTTTTTAATCTTCTCAACTAACAAACTTGCATTAGAATGCATTAATTCCTGTGAATGGTTACGTAAACAAAGGAGATATGATATTAAACCAATTGTGTGAACGAACGCACGTAGATGCTTTTTAAGAGTTGGCCCTCTTTTTAGATTTAAAAAGAGGATTTGGTCCAAAATCTTATAAGTAGCACACGTTAGGTTCTCAAAATTAAGTATGAGACATAATAATGCAAGTTAATTCTTAAAATCCATAACCTATTTAGCAATTTACAGTTTTCAATTAAAATCATATGCCCATGTTATGAATTCAGACCTTCAAAGCTTTAGTTTGCATTTTAGGTTCTAAAAAAACTAATGGAACTTTAGGACTTCAATAATCATATCTGCATGAATCAAGAAAAAAAAGAATTGTGATTCACAATTCTATAAGAACCCAACTGATGATGGTTCTGGTGAAGAACAATTAAAATGTTGATCAACTGTGTTAGACATCAAAACATTTTGAAAAATCAGAATTTAAGCAATCCTTGACAATCTTCAATAAAGCATCATTACTTTTGGGTATAGATGTCAGAATCCCCCATATGATCTTCCGCATACAAGAATAGTTGATAGGATTTGCATTTATCAGTTGTCCAAATTGCCAAAGAATAACTAAAGCCTCCCTTCTGACCTTTTTTATAGTGTCCTGAGGATTGATAATTCAACCAGAGGTTTGCCAAAAATCCAAAATACATTATAATGCACACAAAAAAGCCTTCAAGTTCTTTCATGGTGACAATTCATTCAAACATAAAAAAAAAAAAATCATGGGTCACCCTATCAATAAGGCAAAATTATAAGCCCAAATCCTTAGGCTTCTCCATTATCAAGGTTGCAAGCTTTGTTTCAAGACTTGATCATCTCATAATCCTCTTCAAATGAGTAAAATAGTTGACATCATAAAAATAAAATTGGCATTAGTCCACAACACATGAAAAATGCAAGACCTCTTGATCTTGGGACTCCCCCATTCAAGTTTATTTATCTAACCAAAGACTCGTACTGTCATTATTGCTAGTAGTTGACAAAGCAATGAAAGCAAAGTTCTATGGTTAGCTTCAAATAACAAGGCAAATATTAAATAGTCACTAAAAACAGAAAAGAGAAAATTAAAACTTGCAAATAAAAGAACAATGTGGAGAAAACTAATGTCAATTAATGCAAGCCTTTATCATCTCGATTTGCATGCCAACATATCTAAACTTGAATATCAAATCTAGGCAATCAAGTCAATCTCTCCAAAATTTCCTAGAAAATATAAAAAAATGGCAGAAAGGTCGGGAAAACAAAAAATAATTTTTATGGGCTTGATACTCTATAAGAAAACAAATAGACTAAAGATGACCCCCAATGACAATCATCACAATACAAGAACTAAAGTTAATGTGCAAGTGAAACACCTTGCAATTTGCATGTAGGGTAAGTAGGGTCGTAAGTACCGATCATTTGACTTTCCTCAAGTCCCACTTTGAGCCCAATCCTCTATGAATAAAAAAGCAAATTTTACAAGGCTTGTAACATAATAATCTTCATATAAAAATAAAAGCAAATATGCATTTCCTTCAATTGAATGTGATTGCAAATAGCTACCCCAGATTGAGAAATAAAATATATACTAATCCAAGAGATCCTATACCCACTTCAAGGCAACCTCAACCACAATGATTGGATCAATTATTGAATATCATAACTGGAGGGGTTGCACTTAATATCATGACAAACACCCAAAGCCTTCTCCTCGATAATGGCATCCATTGTAGCATTTCAAAATTGGAGGGATACTCGTCATAAAAATGCCCTCTTAAACTCTAACAAAAATATTTCAAGCTTTTTCCATATGATGGGCATAATCATTGCAAAAAAAAAAAATTCATCTAAATCTAGCCCCGCATAGAAAATCAAAGATATATATAAGCCAAAAGCTCAAGCAAAAATCAACCGTTTCGTGCTCAAGGTGCTCATCGATCCTTTGCACTAATACACCAAGGATGACAACTTTAAGTTTGATTAAAAACATAAATGACATATCACGTATATTCATCTGATCAAACTAAAAAAAACTCACACTACTGAGGGTAGATCTTGACTTCTAATCAGGTGATTAGCCTAATTGCGATAGCTGCATTTATATTAGGCTTATAGTTCAAGCCTAGATATTCTCTAAGGGCTAGGCATATAAATTATGAGCCATAATGTGTACTAAATAAGGCATTGAGTCCCTTTTGAACGAAATAGCTAATATGGCGAGTCCTCCCACAAGGTTGACTTTAGATTAACCAATGTGGCGAGTCCTCCCACATGTATATAAGGTCCCTTTTGAACGAAATAGCTAATAATTACTGATAAGAAATTGCAACCAGTTTGGGTTAAACATCTACGTTGACTAAATAGACCTCTTATCTACTCTAAACCAAGAGAAATACAACTTTTTCACCCTAATTGAAATTATTGTAACTAAAATAATGCATCATAGAGCCTTTAGATTAACATTAATCGAAAGTTTTATTTTCTTATTAAGAGAGATAATTAATTAAAAGGGTCTATAACTATGAGAAATCTCAAACAAAAATTGTAAGGTCTCACAAAAGAGCAAAATCTCATTGCAGTGTCTAATTAAATATTCAAAATGTTTTTAAAAAAATCTGCATGGAATCACTGAAATATGATAGAGTTGGGAAAACATTTTTAAAGCCCTTAAGAGACATGGGAAAAAATTACCACCCAAAATGATGCCTTGGAAGAAAAAGATAATCAAAAAATAATTATTATTATTATTTATGCACCATCATATGGTTTAAATTTCAATTAGATATTATAAACCTCATTTTCTAAGAAAATGAAAAATATCGGTTGCCCTCATGATAAAATTGAACTTTCAACTATTAACCTAATAATGTATATGAAGTTCTTATTTAAGATTACAAGAAATTGTTGATAAATTACATACTTAGCTAAACATTTCTAAGTGTCATGCATCTGCTTCAACATCAAAATTGTCCCAAACATTCAATTTACGGATTTATGAATTCCAATTCTCCATTCATTCATAATAAAAGATTGCATGGAATAACATACAAATCTTTTTGTATAACATATCTATTTTCCATCCTAACCCTTCCGGGGTAATTTTATTTGCTTGGTTTATTAGCACAACTTCTACCATCTGTTGTACATGCTAAAATCACCCAATCAACTTGTCACCATCCGTCTAATATAACCATTTCACAACTTATCCTTCATAATTTTGCCACAAACATATCTTAAAATTCTCATTTTCATCACGTTAAATTTGGCTATCAGTAATTTTTGTACTGTCTAATGTTCTAATGCTCAGATCCATACAAGATATCTCGCCTATTTATAGTTTTATAAAATATCTTATTTTAAGTCTCTATAATATTCTCTTCTCACACAATACCTTGAGTGCCAATTCTCCATTTTAACCATCTAATTCTTCAAGTCACATAATGATATATATATCAAATATTTTATATAAAAGATCAAGATAATTATACATATCATATAGGGAAAAGTATCAAAAAGGTCCCTTAACTCTTCATGAAAGATCAAAACGATCCGAAATTATATTAAAGGACCATTTTGATCGCTCAAGTGCTTAAAAAGTAACCAAAATAGTCCCATGGTGGGACTATTTTGGTTCTAATTTAAAGAGCTAAGAGACCAAAATGATCATTTAATATAATTGGGGATCATTTTGGTCTTTCATAAAGAGTCAAAGGACTATTTTAATCATTTTCTCATATCATATATATATATATCAATTTATTCTCCAATAATACTGTTTGATAATTATCAATTGTACAGCCACTGCATATGCACTTAATTTTTATTCTACTAATACCAAGTCTCCTTATATCCGAGCATTTCATTCACTAAAGAGAAGGGGATTAGAATTACAGCCATTCATAATTATTAAAATGCAAAACTAATCCATTAGAATAATTTTTCCTCTGTTTAAGTAAATTACCATTCTATGGCCTGATCTTGCAGTCGGACAACCTTTTAAAAGTAGTTGTTCCCACTGATTTGTTTTCAAATCCAACATCCAAAAATCCTGCAGAGAAAAAAGCATTGTATGAGAAAATAATCCTATTACTGTTAAGTAGATTTTTTTTCAGTAAGCATTACCCAGCTGGAGTCATAATGTAGCTTATGGCATCACTGACAAGATGAAATTTGACAAGCATTTATATGTAATGAGGCCTACAAACGTTACTTTCGTATTGTTATGGAGAATACCCTATGAAACACAGCAAGCTGTAAGATTCACAACCAAACCCTAAATATTTTGGAGATATGTACGCTTGATTAAAAAGGAAACAAATGCATCATGAACGTGTGTAGAAAGAACAATCCTCAAGATAACATTTTACAATGAGTGTGTAATGTTTGTACGAAGGATTACAAGAAAAGAAGAGCAGATATAATGAAAAGAAAGACCACGACCATCTTCCATTACTCAAACAGATATTAACAAAATACAAAGAAGTACTGGTGCTGCATCATTAAAAGTTATCTTTGTAATGGGAATTTGGATGCATGGAACCCTTCCAATGCTTCATTTGGTATTGATTTTGATTTACTTCTTTTTTCAAAAATTCCGACATATCTCAATTTTGATTTAAGCAATAAATGAGCTACGAAAAGCCCCACACTACATGTCCACCGCCTCCATGGCACTAAAATCATTGATAATGAACTTGCATAGTAGGTTATCCCTATTCTGAGTAGAATACTTCTCTCTTCTACCTCAATAGAAACATAATGTTGTGATAGCATTCTTTGTACCGTTGCTATTTGCCTAGGAAATTCTTAAGGGAAGTGCCAAGTCAATTTTCTGTACATGTCAACAAGTCCTAAAAAGCTCATATCATGCTAATTTAACAAATCAGAATAACACCAGAAGATGATCATCAAAATTCTTGTACAAGACGGCGACCAAAATACTCCATATATTGTTGGTTTTAATTTATATATTGGACTCTAATTTCATTTTTAGTACACACCTAAGGTAGTAGAAGAATCATGGTGTTTGATTTGAAGTCTAAAACACAGATCACAGTTATAAGAAACCTGAATCTTATTATGGTAGACATCAATGAACGGAGTCACACGAACTTTAACAGTGTGGACACGAGATGCACAGCGAAACATCAAAAAAACATCGCGCCATGTTCCTATTTGTTCAATAAGCATAACTCAGGGATTGATGATCAGTAGTAAATTACTTCATATGGAATTAGATAAGATAAAACTGGACCCAGAAAAATAGAAACTGGATCCGGACCGATTTTGATCGTCAAACTCAAATGGAACCAACTAAGTTAGATTCCCTAAGTTAATTTTTCAAATCTCAAAACATCATCAGTTAATAGCACACTTCCGCAGCAGCAACTTCATTGCCCCGTCGCTTCAACCCAGCGGCAAATAACATCTACATGTGTTTCTATAAGATTTGGAACGTGCCTAAAACGTCTTTGTCACCTCACCATCCTTAATCAACAAGGATGAAGCAATCTTGTTCGCAACTCCCTTCCACATAAGTGAACAATACGTCTGCGATGTTCCTTTCAGCTCCTACGTCAGCACCGTAACTTCTTCAGAATTTCTTCACTTCTACACAATAGATGTCATCTTGCCTATTGCAATGTTAACAAGTTTCTTCTTTGAATTTATTCCGTCAATTTCAACCTTTGGTTGTAATAAATTTTAAACTTCTAATAGGTCATTGTATTTTGTAGAAATTGATTGACTACAAAACTTCTATCGTTTGAGGACAACTTTCCTAATGCTTAATTGTTAACATTTAACAGTTTGAATCACCCTGAACTGAATAAAATAGAATGGGTACACTTAAAAATAAGAAAATATTAATTATAATTATTAAGTAATACATTTATTTTTAATGTACCTATATTAAGTTTTATCTTATAAGTTCTGATACTATAAATAACAATTTTTAAATCTTAACAATTTCTTCTTCTTTTTTTAAATACTTAAAAAATTTATAGTAAATTTAGATATATGAACAATTTAGTCATTTATAGTCAAAGCATTAGAGTTGATAACTCAACAAAACAGTTAATATTTGCTTTTTAATTTGAATAAGAAGACAAAAAGCAATTTAACCAAATAGCATTATGTACTTAACTCGATTTTTCAAATAGTTTTTTTTCTAGAACTCCATTTTCTCCACAACTATTTTAAAACAAACTTTTACAACATTAATAGCCCAACCAAACGAGGCCTTTGTTTGCAACCATTGAACATGCTCACAATCTTTGGTACAAAGCTTTCATAGGCATAGTGCATTACATGGGAAATTATCCTGGCCCCAGACAGGCCACACAACACTACTTATGCTCAGGTATTAAGAATAACGCACTTAGAAGATGACACTACAATATTATGCGATCCAATGAATTAAGCGTCAAATATCAGTTAGGCCAATATAAAATAAAAAAATTGAGGTCTATAAAAACATCCGAAAAAGAAGAGAGACTACAAAATCTTAAAAGAAAAACAAGCAAGGAGTAACTATGGGTTAAAAAGGGAGCAATGTAAGTGTGATACCAATAAAAAGTATGGAATATAAAAGATAAAACAACAACAAACATTTATTTCACTACTTGGTTCAGCTACCTGAATCTTTTATTCTCTATTGTGTCAAATTAAAAGTCAAATTCTCATTTAAATCTAATAAAAATAAGTTATTTTTAATATTTTCTAATCAAATCTTTTTAGGTCTACCGCAACCTTTCTTAACATAGGTTGGATCTAATACATCTACACTACTAACAGGGTCATCAAAAGGCCAACATTTTATATGACCAAACAATCTAAGGTGCCTCTCTGATCTTCGTTGCCACTAGAGCTACTCCAACCTTTTCATGTATATATACTCATTTCACATTCTGTCTCTTAAGTGTGAAGCCATCCATCTACCTGAGTATCCTTATCTCTGCAACACTAAACTTAATTTTATGCTTCTCTTTTCACGGCCAACATTCTGCGTCATAAAGCATTGCAAGTCTCACCACCATCTTATAAAACTTTCCCTTAAAGTTTGAGGGGTACTTTTCTATCACACAATAGGCCAGATGCATTCCTTCACTTCAATCATTCAACTTGAATTTTACAAATCATATCCTCATCTATTTCACCATCGCTTTGAACAGTATATCCGAGATATCTAAAGGGTGCACTCTTTTTAATGAATTAATCGCCCAATGTCACAATCCTACCATTAGATCTATTACTACTAAGATTATACTCCATGCATTCGATTTTAAATCTACTCAAGCAAAAAATCTTTAAGACTCTAAGGTTGATCTCCATAATTCAAGATTTACATCAACTCCATCTCTAGTCTTATCAACAAAAAGAATATCATCAAAAAAGCGTACTCCAAGGTACATCCTCTTGCAAATGTCTAAAAAGAACATATGTGACTAAAGCAAAAAGATATGGGCCTAAAGTTAATGCTTGATGTAATCCAACTAAAATAAGAAAATAATTGGTCAAATCATGTTGTGTTTGAACACAAGCAACAATTACTATATACATATCCTTCATAACTTGAATATAAGTATTATTAACTCTTTTTTTCTAAAACTCTCTAGAGCAACTCTCTTAAAACTTTATTATATGATTTCTCTAAATCAATAAATATCAAATGTAGATTCTTCTTACTTCTCTATACTTCTCCATCAAACCTCTCAACAAACATACAGCTTCCATACTAGACCTATTCGGCATGAATCCAAACAAATTTTGAGAAACATTAATATTACATTGTAACCTATGCTCAATTACTCTCTGTCACAATTTTAATATATGACATATTAACTTAATCTTTTATAATTCACACACTCTTGTGCATCACCTTTTTTATTAAAAATAGAGATCAACATACTCCTCAACTCATCTAGTATATTTTTAGCCTTCAAAATAATATTTAAAAGTCTACTGAGCCAAAAAAAATTTCTTGATCTTCTACGCATTTTCATGCTTCTATTGAAATATCATCAGGCCCTAATGCTTTTCCACACCTCATTTTCTTCAAAACCTTTCCAACTTTGATTTTACTAATACAACGATACAACAACAACAACATCATCATCATCAAGCCTTTATCCCACCACTACATGGGGTCAGCTACATGAATCATTTTTCTCTATTGTATTTTATTAAGAGTATCTATTTTTAATATGATGATAAAAATAGAAATCTCTATTTGCATTTAGGGTGCTAAGGTCACTAAAGTCAATCGTATTCTTACAACCTTTATTAAAATGTTTATCGAAATATCTCATCCATCTATGTTAAATATCCTCTCCTAAGAAAAATATTTTTTTTTTGTTTTCATCTTTAATGCACTTCACTTGAACTAAATCTATACTTCTCATATCTTTTTGCTTGGTTAACTTATACGTACATCTTTTGCCTTCCTTAGCATTTAAAAGATAATACATGATAAAATATGAGACAGGATAAACACCAACTTCTGAAAAGTACCAGTAACTTAGATAAGAAATTGATAAAATTTCAATGAATATGTTTTATTATCTACCATGTTTCTAATAGCACAAAAGTTGTACCCTTTAAGTAAAGCGCAGGATTGAGCAGTAAGGCTGCGCATTATTCTGCAGAGTGACATACACCATAAAGCGTAGTTAACGTTGTGAAGCATGCGCTTCATTGTCCTTGCAAAATGCGCCTCTCTGCTACTTCCTAATAAAAAAGGCCTCCTCAATGATGGCTTAGCATCATTTGCTACTCATCACACCACATTCTGTCTATTAATTACTAGTTGGTAATAGATTCCCTTACTAATATTTAACTTAAAATACCATTTATCATTTCATAAAGTTGCTCTAATAATGGTCGTTAAATATTATGATATATGTAATCTTTTATGAGACGTGTGCTTTAGTTAAACAAAGCAGATGTTTTGCATGCATCACATCATTCAAAGCAAAAAAATCCTATTATGTGCCTCATGTGTTTTAATGACAACCTTGTCAAATGCAATCCAAGGGAGGAAGATATTTATACCAAACTAAGAAAGAAACTCAAACGCCAAGAAATCAGCATAATTCTCATTTCTAGTCTAAATATAAATAAATAAATATATATATAGGAAGAAAAATATATTGCAATGATTTACCTTGTAATGATGGAACCGTTCTTGATTCGGAGAGGTGAACTCACCACCTAATGGGGAAAAATAATCAGAGCAATCAAATGGATTAAAGTGCTTCCACTTTTTCCTCAATTTCAAAATTTAGGATGAGATTAATTTACCAAATATATAAATATTATTTTTCCAAGCAATTGCCTGATGAGCACTACGAGGAGGGGGGCTGTTTGGGCTTGATATTAATTTCCACTCATTTTTCTCTACATCATAGCGATATAGATCACCATAAACAAAAGTCTGCAACAAAAGCTCAACCAACCAACATTAGGTAGAAATTTCAAGATTGGTCATAGTTTAAGCCCATGAAATATACAAACAAGCACAAACAAATATATAAATAACTATGAAAACACATCTACTCATATAAGGATAAAAAATGAGGATCACTTGTAATTTATATGGCTCATCAAAGATTATAAAGAAGAAAATAATTCATAAATTATCATTAAGAAAGCAACAATTAGCATAGATAGGATGTTCGGTTCAATGTTATCTAAAATATACTAGCAATGTCAAATAGATAATATTATCAAGTAAATGACAATGTTATTGTTTAAATGCAATGCATTTGGTTCGAAATTATCTTGAATAATGTAATGTTATCTAGAATGATTAATGGTGATTTTGATATTTCCTTTTATTGTAAATTTTAACCATCAAATAGCCAGACATCTACATTTCAACAAATTTAAGCGACATCTAGATGTCATCAAATTGCTAATTAAATTTCATTTACAATTTTTTTATTTAAAATGTCACTAAACCAAAAAGCTGACATCCAAAACATTACATACCCCTGATGTCAGTGAATCAAATAGCTCCATAGTACTTTGTCCTTTGTACAGTCTCCCTTCACAACGTAATGATTTTACATTAAAGTGAACTCAAAGTAAAGCACAGACACACATTGAAGTGAAGAAAAAGAAGTCCTTTACATGATTTAAATTGAAGCATAAGTTGTCAAATTATACTAATCACTTTTATATCAGATGCATAAAAAAGTTCGTCTATGTAGCAATAAATCTAGCACTGAAAATGCTTCAATTTGAAATATATATATATATATATATATTCAAACTAGGAAAAGCCAAGTCTTATGAGACAACATTCACATCCATTTTGTTAAGTTTGAAAGGTATGCATTCAAGTTTGCATGTGTAATTGCAGGAATAGCTAATGCATTTTTTAATGGAAATAATAAGAAAAAAAGCTAACATTTAATCAAATAGTTACGTATTTGAATGCTAAAAACAGTTGTCATAGAAATAATTTAGTTTCAACATGCATGCATAATCAGACAAAACCAAACCCTCCGCCTAAATGGAAATATAACATTCTTTCTAACCCTAACTAAACTTTTTTCCTAAAATGCACGAAAAGTTGGTTATAATGTATAAAGAATGCGAGCAAATGAGCATGAATGACATGAACAGAAATGCAAATGAAGTCCAAAATTATGTTCTGTTTCATGATGAATTCCTCTCTTCAAGATTTTTATGCTTTAAAAAAAAAAGATTTTTATGCTTTATTCCTTATCATAAAAGAAAAACCCAGTTTATTGAACAGGTTTTTATGACTATTCCAAACTGTAAAGCTAAAACTATACAAGAAACCAAGGACCTCGGTATCTTCATATTTTATGGCAAGTTTGAGGATATATGATAAGTTAACAATTAGAATTGGTTTCCATTCATAGCATAATCCCGAAAAAATAAATTAATCCTTGAAGCATTACCAACTTAGTTAAGCAATTTATGTGCTTTGCACTACCATATATCAGTAGGTAAGGAGGTATAATAAAAAAAAAACAAAGAAACTAATCCAAATAAAGAATTTTCTAAGAATAAGATGTTGGAAGTTAAAAGGAAAGAAATTATTAAAAGTGAATGAAATTTGATGAGGGAAAAAATAACTGCTTGCACTAAGAAATTGTCATAAAAATTTTAGAAGAACATAAAATAGATCATACCTGTGTAAGGAGATTTGGTCGTAGAGAGGGGAAGCACAAAAACGTTATTAAAGATTTTTGTTTTTTTTTTTGCTCATGAAGAATAGCAAAAAATAAAATCTTATGAGAAATACAAGGAAGCTAAAAGATTTCTTAAATTAAGTAACTAGAAAATTTAAATATATATGGCTTTGATGATTTGTACAGTTGGTTAAGTACAAAAGAAGAATAGAAGATTGAATACAAACTAAATAAGGTAGAAGCAAAAAGATCTAAAAACTTTAATCAAGATAGACATATTGAAACTTGAAAGTTAACAGAATAGGACCTTAGACAATAAAAAGACGTCAAAGGAAGAAGAATTAGATATTTGGGTATTTATTAAACGAATTTTGAAGAAAAAAATTCATTAGAAAATAAGATGAGCATAATTTTAAAGTATATTGTAAAATGATCCTAAAATTTAGCTCAGTTAAAATTAAAGAAGATACATAAAAGTAAAATTTTAGGTCTAAATGATATACCTATTAAAATTTTGACAGATAAGAGACAAATTGGAGGAATGGAATGATAACGTAAACCACATCAGTAATAAATATCATCAAATCAATTAAATCATATGCCAGGAAAATCTAAAGTGTTAAGGCGATTAATGAGAAAACATAGAAGGAAAATTTTTTTCTTCATTTAGTTTTTGATCTTCAAAAGGAATATGAACAAATACCACAAGTATTTCGATAAATAATAAGAAGAGATGTTGTGTCTCAATGATATAATGTAATTATTAAATATATGCATAATACAACAATTACTAGAATTAAAAGTACAATGCCAAATGAATTCAATTACAATACAAATATATTTAAAGAGCAACTTTTTTTTTTTTCTTTTTCTTTTTCTTTTTTTTTTTTCATTGGATGTGGAAATGATTATAAAGATCAGCCAAAGTGAGGTAACATAATAGATGATATTTTTAAATGACAATTTTGTCATATGTGGAGATGCATATAAAGCTATGATGAACAGACACGGGCATACAGACACGGATACGGGACACATCAATTATTGAAAATATAAGATACGAATACGGGTTAGAAACAGTATTATATTTTGAAAAAAATGTATAAAAAGTGAATAAGCTTAATATTAAGAATAATTGAGAAATAAGAAGTCATTTCAATAGTATTTATGTTTAAAATGATTAATATTAGGATGTGAGAGTGGTGTTGATGTCATGTGTTAGGCATTAAAAGAGAAGGGAAGATAGCAATCCTGTCGAGATTCGAGCATCGGACGTCGATACCGAGACAAAGTCGGTCGTCGATGACTCGATGTTGAGATGACATTAGACAAAGAAAATATGTCAACATAGAGTGGGTGTGTAATTGTGGGTGTAGTATTTGTTGGCATTAGACTTCGGTTTTGAGATGATTTTGAAAAGTAAATATTGTGATGGTGTTGTACGTTGATGTTGAGTTGTCATTAGTTGTTGTTGTGAAATAGTAGTTGTAATTCGACTGAGAGAAATGAAAATGAAAATGTTGGAATATTGAGTACAGACAATTGACTTGGGGTTGTGAAGAGAGTTAAAAATATAATTTTTATTTGTTCATAAATAAAAATTTAAATATAAAATTTTATATTTTAAAAAATTCAAAAAATACTTAAGACATGAGTGTGGGACACGCGTGTATAATTTATTTTTAATATTTTTTATCAGACACGTCTTCAGCGTGTCTGGTACATGTCGGAGGCGTGTTGGACGCATGTCGTGTCCAATATGTGTCGGACACTGCATACCTCTTTGAGGAGAAGTGACAATGCATTATAGATATAAAGATAGCCAGTCTGAGCTATCATAATATATTATTCATATGGCAGTTTCCATGAGGGAGACATCTTCTAAAGAAACATAAAGTTAAATAATACAAGAAATTTTGAAAAGAAATATGATTAGAATTGATAATGAAATGACTAGATGCATGATAAAAAAAATTTTAGGACATGAAATCAATAATAAAGTAATTTGGAAAGAAAGTTGCATTAAACAGAGATATGTTTAGGTGCAAAAGTTTTACAATAAAAAAGAATTGAATATAGCTAAAGACAAGTTTATAGAGCTAATATTGGGTCTTAAAAATGGATAAGTTCATTAAGATTACTAATTAATAAGGAAATATAATTAATAATTAAAGGTAAATTTTATAATTATAATTAAAAAATTTATATAACATATATTTGAGTGTAGAGAAACAAGCAAATCACTAACAACCAGGTTCAATGTGGTAGAAATAAGAATTTTATCATGTGTGTGTGGTAAAAATATGAGGGGTAACATGAATAACAATTATATTATCAAACATATGACAGTAGCATAATTGTTGATCAAAATTAATCAAGATAAGTACAATTATGATGATGTTGGCAGTGCAAATACTAATTGATAATAAGATGGACAAAACTAGACTTAAGTGGTCGTAGTCTGTACAACATAGAACAAAAAAAGCACCAATAATGTAAGTAGATAGAACTAGTGTGAAGGATCAGGAACTAAACAAGGGTAGAACAAAGTTAACATTGCCATAAGCCTTGCAAAATAAATAATAATAATCAGAGCTAAGACCTCGTAATATAACAAAAAAAAAAGGTAGTGATAGGAATGATAACAAAAGAAAAATTGTACTAAAAGATTCCAAAAATAACAATAAAGCAGATATTAACCACTAATTACATAACACCAAACAATACCTTGTTCCCATTGTAGAATTCTCCACCATATAGAATCAACTCCGTCTCCTTTACTGGATTTATGGACAACTACATTACAGGGAAACCATTAGATACGTTGCAAAACAAATACTCTTCACCTAATCTTAATGGAATAAGTCCAATTTTAATTAAGAGATTACTCTGAGTGCAATTATATTTTTTTAAGGAAATAAACAAACACCCCAAAAATCAAAAGTTGAAATTTTACTACTAACCTTCATCTATCAGGCTCACTAATTTATTTAAAATAGAAGTTTTTTCTCTTTTCTTTTCTGTTTTGTATTTGAAATATTAAGGGATTCCTTTGCTCTTAGTTACAGTCTTCAAATTCAAACATCAGCCCAACTCGGTGGAAAAATGATTCTTTTATAACATATAAGTTCACCGAGTAAGACTCCACAACCCTAGAAGCATTTCCACACATACCGTGCAATTGGATCGAGGGGAAGGGGCAGGGACATTCTCCTCCACATGAACCTCCTTCTTCTTGGCCTCCTCCTTCTGAATATTCCTCTGCCTCAGAGAAAGATCAAATTTGGTTACGAGAAAGTAAACTAGAGATAAATACATGGACGCACGTGTGGGATATTACAAGGATAGCATCAATGTCGTCCTCTTCCGAGACCTTCTTGCTCTCCCTTCGGATTCTCTTCCCCTCGGACTTGGCGGTCTTCCTCTCCGTCTTCTCCTTCCCTCTCCCGGGCTTCTTCCCCTTCTTCCCCATATCCTACTCACTTTCTTGCGCGGCGCCGGGCGGCCCAATGGCTCTGCTGTTATGTCGATGAGAGGAATCGGCTTTGCAAATAACCCGGCTGTCCGGTTCAATAAGTGTTCAGAATATTAAAATTTAAAATTAAAAAGTAAATATTAATTTAGAACTTCTTATATTGATATGGTACCAATTATAAAGTTTGTATTGATATTAAGCCTATCATGTGAAAGGTTTGGGTTTAGACTGGGTAGACTTCGACCTAAATGATGTTAAAATTTGGAGCAGCTGACTTTATATGTCTTGTGATAATAGTAGTTGGTCAAAAGTATTCTTTTTTAGAAATATATATTGAAGTTAGTTTAAGATGACATTTCTATTTCTCTCTCTTATATTTGTAGATTATTTATTAGACTCTAAGTCATTTAAATTTGATTAAAAATCAATTTGAATTTTAATTCAAAGTTTGTGGACTCTTTTAGTTCAAATGCGGAGAAATGAAGCTCGAAGGAAAAACTTTGAATCTTGACGTGCAATGCGACCAATCTCGCAAATATCTCTTCTCCTTCACATATCACTGCTTATATGATTCCTTTCCCAACTTGACAATAGCCCACTATGCCTTTCCCAAGTAATGTCCTTCAATTAGATCAAAAACTCCTCTTCCCATCACACTCATTAGCGGGTCCCCTCGTAACCTTTTTCAACTAACATTGTTCATCCTCTGTCACAAACTATTAGTCTTGAAAATTCTTCTTTTTCTTCATATGTTGTTGTTTGTGTGATGCATTCTTCAACATGTATTCAGTCTATGATATTTTCCTCAGCAATGTCCTCCACTCCGCCTGTAAACTCCCCTTCTCTTCCTGTGCATGCATGCTTGCAGATAATCCTATTGTAACCTGACCAAATAAAACTCATTCCTCCACATTTGAAAAAGAAACGCAATAACTTAGGATTTTATCATAGTTTGAATTACAAGCTCAAAAAATTCACATATGTCTTGTAACACCCTAGAATCTAATGGAAGAATTGGACTTTCTTAATTCTATAATTAAAGAAACTCATCACCCAATAATTATAACCATAGTTGCTAAATTTTTTCGAAAGCATAAAAGCAATAGTCAACTTTCATTTCACAAAAATATAATTAAAATGATCTAAATCATATAAGTCTGTATTTCAAATAATTAAATGTTATATTACAAAAGCACACTTTAGCAATTTGGATTTCAAAACCTAAGGGTGTCATTATGTGGCACGACCCAAAAACCTGTGGATCTGAACCGAAACCCAACCCAAATCTGATCCGAAAACCTGACCCGAGTCACCCATTTAACAAACGGGTAGGGCTAAGGTTTTTTTTTTGACCCGATTGAAACATCGAGTCAGGTTCAAGTAAACCTGCAAACAAGATCGTAACCTATTATACCTATCAACCGCTCGCGCTCATCGCGTACGCTAGCCCTCACCCACCCACGCGAACTAGCCCATTGCATTCAACCGGGTTAACATGTCTAATTGTGTCGGGTTGGGTTCGGGTCTAAATTCTTAACCTGGTTGGACAAACATGTTGAGTTTGGGTCAAACGTTAAGAGCGGGTTAATTTCGGGTATGACCCAAACCCTAACCGAAAATTTATTTTGACACACCTACTAAATCCTGCCTCTATACTTGATATACTCGGCAATACCTTTACCTTTTTCATAAACATTAAAAGGGCAAGTAAATTTAACTAGCTTAGTGGATTCCTCCTAAACCCTTCTTAGTTATCAAATTCAGTTTATTATATATATATATATATATAATATATATATATATATATATACTAAAAGTAATTAATCAAAGAAAAACATAAGGGAGGGATTTCATAATATATAAAGCATAAGCAAAATAGGAATTTAAAAAATTCCAATATGTATACTTGATTTCGGGGTCAACACTTATTTTTATAATCACATAATCACTTCCATTGAAATCTCGAGAAGTCGTATTAAACACTCACTTTCATAGACTCACTTGCATTTCATTTTCACGTTCACTTCCCGCCAGAATTCATATAGAATTTTGGAGTCCACTAAAACATAACTCAGAAGATTTCTCAGTCTTATTGCTGAAATGTTAACATACAAAATGGATGACTAAAATGTACATGTCATAATGTTTGTTTATATCTTCACTTTTCTTTGTACCTTCATTTACCTCCAACAGCTATACACAGTAGGTGGGGCTAGAATTCTTCCCACTTCTACATTAAGCATAAGGGATTAGAAGAGTACTTGTAGTGTTAATTAACCTCTCACACCTACTTCTAGCAAGTGGGCCATAATCCCTCCCATATATGCATCTAGCAAATGGTGTCATAATAGTATATTTGGGGCCCTTAGTAACATAACACATAGTGCACTTTTTCATCTTAATAAATTTACTGAAATTAAAATCAAAAACTAGATTTTAGAAGTCCGCATGGAGCTCTACAATTTCTTGAACTAGCTCAACGAACAAATCTCGGACCTTAGTCTCCAAATTCATTCCCCCTCTTTTCCTTTTTTTTTTTCCTTTCCTCCTACTCTCTTCTCCGGCAAGCCTGACCAGGTGGCGGGTGAGTTTAGAGGATGGTTTAAGATATTTTAATAATAAATTTTCTACCATTTTGAACTAGCATCACCGTGCTTGATTGCCTTAGCGCCATAGCTCTCTGAAAAATCTTCTAAAAGCCCCCATAATAGGCTAAACTAAGACCAAGTGTGACAACGACACTTCCTGGCACTGTGGTGTTCGCTCAAACCTATTTATTTGTCAAATTTTCTGAGAGTTTAATGTTGAGGCGTTGCATCACCTTATGTTTTGGTGCCCACAGAAAAACTCTGACTTGGATTTTTTACCTTTTTAATCCCAAATATTGGTTACTTTTTACTTCATTCAATATTTTAAGATTCATAAGTATTAATTAACTTGAAATTGAAGAATAGCTACATAGCATTACCTGGATTTGATGACATATGTTATTTTCTCCTCTCCTTACAAAAATATTGTCCTCGGCATTTCAAATATAAAGCACACATAATCAAAACTCAATCAGAATAAGTCAAGATGCAATTATCTCATCTCATACTCTTTCTCCCAAGTTGATTCCGGCTCTGATCGATGCTTTCATTGAACCTTGACAATCAAAATCTATTTGTTCATTAACTTCTTTACAACAAAATACATAATATGCTCATGTTTTCTCACTAAGTCAGATTGGGATACACTTTATTTCAGCTTTTGAAACCCTCTGATCAAATTCTGCCACCCATTTTCTCAACACAAATATATTAAAAACATCATTGATGTCAGACATATGGTCTGGCAGAAATAACCTATAAGCACATTTTTCAATCCTCTCAATGCCTCAAATAGTCTAATATACTGAGGGCTCATCTTGTTATCTTTTCAAAATATGCTAACACCCTTCATTGGGTTGACTTTCAGATACAAAATATCACCGAGGCCCCAGCTGAAATTCTACAGACTTGTGCTTAGGGTCAATATATTTTCTTTGCATGTCCTGAGTTGCTTCTAAAATTCTTCTAATCATCCTGATCTTCTCACTAGCATTATCCACCAGTTTAGGATCAATCAATTTTCTTTCTCCTACTTCAACCCAAGATAAAAGGTGTCTTGCACCCTCTTCCATATAGAGCTTCATAAGAAGTCATATTAATACATATTTGGAAGTTGTTATTATAAGTAAACTCAACTAGAGATATATGGTCCTCATAGCTTCCACCAAAGTCCAAAATACAAATCCTCAATAGATCTTTCAAAATCTGAATGACTCCTTCTGTCTATGAATGAAAGGTCGTACTAAAATTCAACTTCGTCTCCAGACCTTCATGAACACCTCTCCACAATTTTGAGATGAATATGTTATCTCGATCAAAAATAATAATCTTAGGGATTCTATGTAGTATGATAAACTCTTTCACAAATAATTGAGCCAGCTTATTAGCATAATCAATATGGCTCATTGGCAGAAAATAAGTAGATTTTGTTAATTGATCTATAACCACCCATACTACATGATAGCTTTGCCTATACCTGGGAAAGCCTATAGCAAAATTTATAGTGATCTCTTCTCACTTTCACTTTGGGATAGGCAACAACTATAATAAACTATTGGGTCTCTAATTTTCAACTCACCATTTGACATGCATCACATTTAAAATCAAACTCTGATACATCCTACTTCAATCAAGGCCATTAATATATGTACTTCAGGGCTTTATGCATCTTGTTACTACTATGATGAAAGGTATATCCAAAATATTGGCTTCACGTATAATTTCTATCATCATATTACCATTACTGGGACCTATAATCTACTACCATAGAAAATTACCCCTTGCTCATCTACCCACAATTTAGCTCTTCTTCTAGATTGAATTAGATATACCAACCTCATATATTCTTCATCTATTTTCTAAACTTTTCTAATTATGCCTTGCAATTAGGGTTGGACTATTATTTGAGAAATAAATGCAATAGGTACATCAGATGAGCATATCACTTCTAATTACATCCTTTCCATCTCTCTAATCAGTACCTACTTTGAAGCAAGCAAGCAAGCTGCTACTCCAATAAATTTCCTTCTCAAAGCATTAGTAACCATATTTATTCTACAGCAACCTCTACTGTAAAGTCAACTTTTTTTTAGTAAAAATATACTTCAAACTCTGGTGATAGGTATAAATCTCACATCTAACACCATATAGATAATGCCACCTAATTTCCAATGCAAATGCATTCATTACCAACTCCAAAGCATGAGTCAGATAATTCTTTTATGCAGTTTCAGCCGCTTGGATGCATAAGCTACCATATTTATGTTATGTTGCAACACACAACCCAAGCCATTCAATGAAGTATCACTATATACCTGAAATACTTCAATGCTCGATGAAATAGCTAATGCATGCTTTGATACCAAATACTCCTTTAGTTTTTAGAAACTCTCATCACAATCTGGTGTCCAAACAAATGGCATGACCTTTTGAGTCAAGCTTGTTAAAGGGATAACAATATGTGAAAGCCTCTCACAAACTTTCTACAATATCCTGCCATGTTTCAAAAACTATAGACCTTAGTCATAGACGATGACCTCTGCTAGTTCACAATAGATGCACCTTCTAAGGATCTGTAGTAATCCCCTCCTTACTCACCACGTGCCCCAAAAATGTCACAGAAGTCAACCAAAATTAACACTTTGAGAATTCAGTAAATTTTTATCACCTAAAAGTCTCTAAAGTTAATCTCAAATGGCTTGCATGCTCCTCTTCATACTTTGAATACACCATAATTAATTAAAACTTAATGAACTCCGGTGTAGCCATATAGCTCAATGGGAGGAACATGCAAGTGAGGTTTTTGCGCTCCCACTAAGCTCCTCCTGCTAATCCACCAGACGATCTCTCTTCACATCCACCTCCATTGCGGGTCGATGAAGCCTCATTGACAGCTCTAAAAGAGGCCAGTTGCTGCCTCAAACTATGACTTCCTTATGCTTCAAGTCTACCCTATAGCGCTTTCTTTAGACATTGAGCCACCTTTTGACCTACCTGGCCACCCATAAAGCACTAGCCCATGTATAAAAAAACATTGACATATATTCCACCTCTTATAGAAACCACATACTAAATCACTAATAACATATAGAAATCCCCCAACACTCCCAAATGTTATCGATCCTCCTCTCCTAAAATCACTAGCCTCTTTTTTGAACCTTTTTCCACTGAATACACTTATGGAGGGCTCTCCTCTAAACCTCTTCCTGTTGGCACCCCACCTATATTGGGTGAATATCAAGTCATTATCCACTACCCTTAGTCTTTCCACTAGCTTAGAAAAATCGCTGATATGAAATGGCACTAGGGGACGCCTCAAACTATCCCTCAATCAATGTAGGAAGTAATAACACTTTTCCTCCAAAGTGTTGACCAACTAGAGAGTATACCATGCAAGAGTTGAGAACTCTATTTCATACTGCATCACTAACTTGCTCCCTCATACCAACCTCAAAAAGGACTTCTGCATCTACTTCCTGGCATACGGCGTGCAAACCAGCTCCTAAAAATCTTAGCAAATTCCTTCCACTTGATTTATATATTTAAAATCCCCTAAAATCTCTCTCGCTGTTAGTCTATCTACCAGTGCTCTGTTTCTCCATAAACAAAATATTGTTAATGAAACCCTTCTTCCTAATGGGCACTCCATATTATTAAATGATTTTTTACTCTCATCAACCAGTCCTTTGCCACCCGAGGCTCAACAATACCTTGAAAATGAGGTGGCTTCAATCGTAAAAATAGTTGTAGATGCTTATCCATCTCATCCCCCTTTACTCCATCCATCATACCCTAAGCCTCACTCATTAGTTGGGCCACTAACCCAATAAAATATATCATCGAATCAAAAGTCATATCCACCAAAGTTTTTTGAACTGTTATAGCCTGACTAGAGCCATTAGCTGCTTTCCACTCTTGGGGGTTCATAATATAACAACACTTTAATCTAGATAATACAAGATAAATCAATTATTCAACACAACTAACAGGCAACAAGGTATATGAGAATCCAAACTCCCCTCCCATATTGGTACAATTCATTTCCTATGGCTCTAATTATAATTCCCCAATCCTTCCAAATACTGATCTAATATGGCCTCCTATAATGCCCTAAAATCTAATGGAGGGATTGGACTTTCTTAATCCTACAATTAAAGAAACTCAACACCCAATAATTATAACCAAAGCTACTAATTTTTTTCAAAAACAGAAAAGCAGTTGTTAACTTTAATTTTGCCAAAATATAATTATAATAATCCAAATCATAGAAGTCTTTACATCAAATAATTAAATGCTGGATTAGAAAATCATTCCTTAACAATTTGGATCACAAAACCCTGCCTCCATACTTGCTCTACTCGACATGACTTTTACCTTTTTCTTGAAACATTAAAAGAATATAGTAAGCTTAACTAGCTTAGTAGACTCCTCCTTTACCCTCCTTAGTTATCAAACTCAATTTATATATATAGAATTTTGAAGTCCATTAAAACATAACTCGAAATATTTCTTAACCTTATTATAGAAATGTCAACATATAAAATGTCATAACTAGAGTGCACATATCTCAATACCTATTTATATCTTCACTTCTCCTTGTTCCTCCATTTACCTCTCTCACCTATACACAATAGGTGGGGCTAGAACATAATAGCTGACCCAAACTAATAAAGTTTTTAGGAGTCATTATAAGTCCAAATCATAAATTATCCTCACCATAGCATAGATATTATAATAATTTAATTACACTATATTTTTTTGATAATTTTGGGATTTATGCAAATCCTTAGGAAATTAATACATATCATACAAGAAATTAACAATATACAATGAAAAAAAATTAATGTAGCTGACCCCATGTAGTGGAATAAAGACTTGATGTTGTTATTGTTATTGTCAACAACAAGAACAACAAGCCTTTATCCCGCTATGTGGGGTCGACTACATGAATCATTTTTCTCCATTGTGCCTTATTCAGAGTCAACTTCTCATTTATATCTAATAAAGAAAAATCAGATCTAATATTTTCTAACCAAATCTTTTTAGGTCTACCTCTACCTTTCTTAACATGAGTCAAATTTAATGCATCTATTTTCCTAACCGAGTCATTGGAAGGCCATCTTTTTATGGGACCAATTCATCTTAGGCGGCTCTCTCTAATCTTATCTTCCATTGTAGCTACTCCAACCTTTTTCACGTATATGCTCATTTTGTATCATGTCTCAAAGAGTAAAGCCACTCATCTACCTGAGCATCCTCATCTCTGTAACACTTAACTTAATATTATGTTTCTCTTTTAATGGCCAACACTTTGTACCATAAAGCATTGCAGGTCTAACTAACAACTTATAGAAATTTTCCTTAAGTTTGAGGGGGGGTTTTCTATTACACAACAAGCCTGGAGCATTCCTCCACTTCAACCATCCAACATGAATTTCACTAATAATATCCCCATCTATTTTATCATCACTCTAAAAAATAAACCCAAGAAATCTAAAATGTGTACTCTTATTAATGACTTGATCACCCTAAGGCACAATCCCCCAGCTGGATCTACTATTACTAAAATTACATTATATATACTAAATTTTAGATCTACTCAAACGAAAGCATTTAAACTCTAAAGATGACCTCCATAATTCAAGTTTACCTTTAACCCCCTCTCTAATCTTATCAGCAAGAAGAATATCATCAACAAAAAGCAAATACCAAGGTACAATCTCCTACAAATGCTTAGTGAGAACATCCATGACTAAAGCAAAAAAATATGGGCTTAAGGCTGATCCTTGATGTAATCCATATGAAATAGTAAAATACTTGGTCAAACCACCTTGTGTTTGAACACAAGTAACAACTCCTGCATACATATCCTTAATGACTTGAATATAAGCATTATTAACCTCTTTCTTTCTAGAACTCTCCATAGCACTTCTCTAAAACTTTATCATATGCTTTCTCTAAATAAATAAATATCATATATAGATCCTCCTTATTATCTATATACTTCTCTATCTAATCTCTCAATAAATGTATAGCTACCATAATAGACCTCTCCGCATGAATGCAAATTGACTTTGAGAAAATTTAATATCACACCGCAAACTATGCTCAGTAACTCTCTCCCATAGTTTTAAAGTGTGACACATTAACTTAATTCCTCTATAATTTGCATAATTTTGTTCATCACCTTTATTCTTAAAAACACGAATTAAGACATTCATTTTCCACTCATGTGGCATTTTTTGTCTTAAAAATAATATTAAAAATTTTAGTAAGCCAAAAAATTCCTTCATCTCCTAAGCATTTTTATACTTATATTAGAATATAATAAGGTTCAACAATTTTTCCTCACTTCATTTTCTATAAAACCTCTTTATCTTCAATTTTAATAATACACCGATAAAAAACAAAAATCTTTATTTTCATTTAACTTGTTAAGATCGCTAAATTCAATCGCATTCTCATAATCTTCATTAAAAAATTAACAAAATATTTCATCCACCTTTGTGGAAAATGCTCTTCTAATAAAAGCATTTTTTGATCTTCATCCTTAGTGCACTTCACTAAAATCAAATCCTTGCTACTACTATCTTTTTGCTTGGCTACATTATACATATATATTTCTCCCTCCTTAATAGCAAAGTTATTAAATAAACCATTATAAACTAAAACCTGGATGAGAAAATATTGATAGATCAAGTATAAAATTAAAATTATATTTTACATATGAAATTGTTAGATTATGAATAAAAAAATTGATAATTTTTAGTTAAAATGAATAAAATAGAAGAAAAATAAATAGTAATTATTATTAAGGAGCTTAATAGGTAGATTTTTTTTTAATGATGGGCTTTTACAAAGTTATTGCTCATTTTAACTGTTAAAATTATGAATGGAATAGGTAATGGTATAGATAGTTGAAAGATAAATCTATGATATATTGAGAAATAAAGGCGCGTGTCAAAGACATGTTGATATAATATATATTTCCATCCAAAGTAAATTAATAACCAATTGATTGCAAAAATAGAAAATAGAGAAACATTGAAATCCTTTTCTCAAATTTTAACTTTCACTGCCGCTTATATTCTGCAAGGAGCAAGAAATATGCTCTACACGAAAGTCCTTTGATGACCACAAGATCAACAAAACAAGTGATGAGTTACAGAAAGCCTCCTTTATCGGAGAAATTATATTATATTGTTCAGAGACCGGATGCAGAACTTTGTCCGGAGACCAATCAGAATATACAGCATCAGCGGTACCGAGCAGTACGAGCCGTGATACCGAGCGGTATCGAGCTGTATCGAGCACAGGAGTGGCATGGCGCATTCTACTTGATCTCCGAACGACGTTCGACGTCCACACTAATAATTAATCCATTTATTGTCACACCTCCGCATAATATATATATTTTTCGTATATATTGTCTAAAAAACGCGAATAGTCTTCAGAAAATATTACTCCAATTCAATTTGATCATATTTCTGCGAAGGATGTAATAGTCTGAAATCCATGATAATCTGGGAGTGGTGCGTTTCCAGGACGAATGGAAATGATGACATCGAGACCTGCAGAGTAGTTCGAAATAATTTTTTTTTTTTTTAAATAAATGCAATACAGCAGCAGCAATCAGAATTCACAAGCTGGAAGAAAAAAAAAAGAAATGAATTTGCAGAGAACGCAGAACAATTTCTCTTCACATTTTCTTAATGTAATAGAATATATACATATATTAAGAGCTAGGAAACCAAATCACTACAGTTGCAGATATTGCTATAAATCAATGGCTACGATTAAATCAGTGGCAGAGATTGAAAGGCGCAGATTAAGTAGAGTGGTGGACAGTAAATGCGAAAACTGCAGGAGCAGCTTATATTCCCTTAACAAACAAACAAAATAATAATAATAATAACATGACATGTGCATTGACTTGCACTTCGTGGTATATATAAGTTGTTGCATCCTCAAATATTTGCGGCGATAGAGAGACATAGAGTTTAGCATCTTAGCTCTATACAAAGATCCAGTACATAGAAAGATGTGAGAGAGAGAGATGTGCAATAGTCATAAGTGACACCAAAATTTTAACGTGAAAAACCCTGAAAAAGAAAAAGATCACAAGGTCTGACCCAATTAAAATAAATCCACTAGTGCTTGTTGTTGATTATAAATGATGCCCTTCCTCAAGCAAAGGCGTTGGCTCCATATATACATCATATTGAGAACATTACATAGTTGAATGGAGGTCGGAAGAACTGCAGTCGCACATTATTTTTTAGGAGTTGGAAGAATCTCATGACATGAGAACTGTACTCAAGAGGATGTTGGCCTTTTCGTTTGTTTAGTAGGATGGTAGTCAAGCGACGGAGGTTGGAGGGACCATAGTCGACTAGCAACGGCAATTGGTGGGGCCATAGTCGACAGGCGACGACAGTTGGAGGAGTCGTAGTCGATAGGCTATGCAGGTCGGAGGGGCCATAATCGGCAGGCAATGGTAGTCGGAGGGACAGTAGTCGGCGGGAGATGGTGGTCGTAGGGACCGTAGTCGGCGGGAGACGGTAATCGAAATGATCGTAGTCAGCAGGCGACGCTGGTTGGAGGGACAATAATTGACGGGCAACGATGGTCGGAGGGATTGTAGTCAGCAGGCGACGGTAGTTGGAGGTAAACCCTATAGTTGTGGCCAGATGGAGGTCCGACGACAACGATCGGGCAGAGGTACGGCAATTGTGGCCGAGTTGTGAGGGTTCGTTGGCGGTGGTGAGTGGAGTTTCTAGATACTTCAAGCCTCAGAGCTCTCTAAAGTTTCTAGCCCATGATCTAAGCCTCCAAAAGCTCAAGTCCCCAAAAAGTCCTCTTCATGTAAAAAGTGGGGGTCAATTTATAGATTTTAAAGGTTACATGTCCCGTAAATATGAATACGATATGGGGCAAATTCATAGTATTCCATCCAACAACCCATATTGATTCCTTCGATCATAGAGCATTTGTCAAGCATTTAAGTGCATTAATGAAGTCAGAATTAAGCGATCTTGGGCTCGTTAGATTCATTTCGTTGAGTTGCTCGATTCAACTATAAGCATGTCATATTTAGAGATCATTTGGTCATATCCAATTAAAGCTTTGAACCTTCCAAATATGCTTTGATGCCTTGATTCAAGCTCATTTGGGTTCGGATTGGACCAATTTTAGTATTGTTGGGTTCGTTTCACTAAGACGTTCAATTTGACTATAAGTTTGCTGAAATTAGAGTTTAGATGGTCCCATATTTAATTTTGAAAGTTGCCGAGTAGAATATGCCTCAAGATTCGTGCCTAATCAAGATGATTTTTAGTGATGTATCATAAGTAAACACAATAAATCTAAATATAGCAATGAAAATTTTGATTTTTTTATGGAGAGATGTGGTTGCCCTTAATAATACAGTGGCTGAATTTAGAGCACTGCTGAAGAAAATTATGAAGTAATCTGGAAGAATTGAAAGCATAAAATGTATCTAAACAACTTATTCCGCCACGACAAGCCGAGAATCAACAACAACAACAACAACAATATCAAGTATTTATCCTACTACGTGGGGTCGGCTACATGAATCTTTTTTTCTCTATTATGTCCAGTTAAGGGTCAAATTCTCATTTAAATCTAATAAAGAAATGTCATTTTTAATCTTTTCTAGCCAAGTCTCTTTAGGCCTACCTTTATCTTTCTTAACATAAGCCAAATCTAATACATTTATTTTCCCCACCGGGTCATCAAAAGGCCACCATTTTATGTGACCAAACTATCTAAGGCTACTCTCTCTAATCTTTCTTAACACTGTCATTGCCAGTTCCCAAATCCTGGATGAGAAAAGTGAAAGGTTGCGTTAAGTAGTCGACAACCAGCATAAAACTTGCCAAATAAACATGAAATGAAGCCAGAATCAACACTGCAAAAAAAATTATATTATCATAATTGAACATAACATGTTGAAGTGGATAATTATTAAAAAAAAAAAATAAGGGCGGGGTTATTTGCATGAACAATGCACCTATAAAGCAGCTAGTACCGGATATACTAACAATTAACAAAGTAGTTTCCTAGATCAAGTTTTAAAATACTTCTGGAAAAGTTAGGAATCATCTATTCTCCAGCATAAAGGGGAGTGAAAAATGAGGGAATTATTTTTCATGTAAAGAAGTGGGGGGATAAAATTCTTGTTTAGTAAAAATTAAATTAAGATCCTTCTTATTTTGATTAAAATTATTATCTTTTCTGTTTTTTGAATCTCCTAGATTCAAGACTTACTTTAACATCACTATTCTATCCCTAGGGGCATGGATAAGAAAATTAAGAGATTCTTTCACCTCTATTTTTATAAACTATTAATATGCCTCAATGCATGCTATGCAGATTAAGTGTCAGAGCGGAGAGGTTAGTTAACCCGGTCTGTAATTCAAAGAGAAGGTCCATGCTACTGCCCTTAGGCAGAACTACGAACCAAGGTGTTATCGCATGTGTTGCACAAAAACTTCTGCGCAAAATTAAATGAGAGAAAATAATTTATGAGTATAGATACAAACTCTTCAAAAATAAATAAATATAATATATACCTATAAATTTAGGGAGAGGGATTATGATGCATGCAAATTTCAGTTTATTTTAGTTTTTTATTGTAATTTGAATGCCATAGTTTTTTTTTGTTTTTTTTGTTTTTAATACTATCCTATGATGGAGAGCATCCAATGATCATGAGTAGATAGAGCTTGGGCTTGGCAAGCTTTGGGTGTGCTAGCTGCTTGGGTTCTTTGGTTTTTAAGCTGCTGGTTGCTTCTCGGGTTGGGCCTTGGCTACTCAATTTTGGGTTGTGGTTTTTAGGAGCTGTTTTGATCTAGCTCATAAATGCTTGAGCTGATATTTAGCTCATTATTATGAAAAGATATTCCTCTTGTAAGCTCATTATGTGGAGTGGAATTTTGTCTTTTTCCCTTCTCTGTGACCCCTCAATTTTTTCCTCCTGATGCTATTTCCCGTGGCTGGTTCCTTCACCTTTTTGGTTGTCTGTTCCGGTTCCCCTGGCTGCCTATTCCAATGCCCCTGGCTGTCCGTCCCGGTTCCCCTGGCCATCCATTCCTTCCCCTTGACTGCCTTTTCTCGATTTTTTGGGTGGCTGTTCGGGTGTTGTTTCAAGATTAAATGCTAGCCTTCTATTTCCCCTTACCTGAATGATTCGGTTGGAGGTGGATTGGCTATTTGGCTGTCCCCTTTTCTCTTATAAATTAGAAGTGTTTTGAAGCATAAAAGGTTGTTGAATATTTGAGCAAAGTTTCTTACAAAACATGAGGGTTTCTTCTTTCTTGGAAAAGCTCGAGAGCTTGTTCAATTTCTCTCTTCCTCCCTACTATTTCGTCTTGGGCTTCTAACCCCTTTCTTCTCTCCACGAGTTCCACTCCACTTGTATCTTTCTTCTTGAGCTATTGGAGTTGTTTGTTGGCTGATTTGGTGACATTTGCCGAAGAAGTTTTGGTGGATATTGAACCTTGTAGCTGTGGTGGACCCTTGGTTTGCAAGCCCTTAAGCTCTTATCTTATACTGCCTACTTTTTTCGTTGCATGTGAGGAAACCGCTAGCCAGTTGTTCTGAGGGCAGTGTTTTTTAATTTTAATTTTGTTTCGTTTGTTTGACTTTTGTTTGTTTTTTAAGTTTGTTTGGATATTGGTATTCTAATATTGAATCCAGTCATGTTCTTCTAGTTCTGGTGTTCTCCTCTATTGGCTTTCTCAATCTAGCTATCCGCATCAGATTACCACATGTAATTGCATAGAATATATATATATATTCTAAATAGTTGGGAATGATGATAATTATTAAGATATAAGAATATGCTTTACTGTATGTAATATAAATATCGCATGTAAACCTATATAAATTTACTAAGATAGCATATGGATAATATTTATACCTATATATATATATATATATATATATATGCAAATGTACAAAATCAATCTATGACCATATATATGCGTATGGGAGTAATATGCATGTGTAATATATTTTGAATAAACATTAAAAATATATACATATATTTACTCAAAATAATGATAATTATTATTATTATGATTTATGTATGATTATATGTATGTATCATGTGTGTGTGATAGAGGGAGAGAGAGAGTATTTTATATTTATTATGGGGTTGATTGGTTGGAAGTAAAGTGGTGTAAAGTATTCCTTTTGTTGTTTGGTTGTATAAAAAAAGAATGCAATGTAAAGTAAATAAAATGTAAAGTATTCTAGTTTATTTTTAAGGTAAAGCAAACTCGTCCAATTTTGAGCGAAATTTTTTTCACAGAAACCAAGCTGCCTTTTATCGCCACCTGCAGCCGCGACCTGCCTGCTGGCCACAGCTTGTCGCCGACTACCCACCACCACCACCATCGACTAGGGGTGTAAACTTATGACCCGACCTGAATAACAATAAATATAACAATAATAATAATAATTATTATTATTATTATTTATTTATGTAATATTATATGTATGTGTCATGTGTGTGTGATAGAGGGAGAGAGAGAGAGAGAGAGAGAGAGAGAGAGTTTTTATATTTATTAAGGGGTTGTTTGGTTGGAACTAAAGTGAGTGTAAAAAATTCCTTTTGTTGTTTGGTTGTATGAAAAAAGAATGAAATGTAAAGTATTCTAGTTTATTTTTAAGGAAAAGCAAACTCGCCCAATTTTGAGCGAAAATCTTTTTAACTGAAACCAAGCTACCTTTGTCTCCATCTGCCGCCGCAACCCGCCTACTGGCCACCACTGGCCATAGCCTGCTACCGACCCGGCCACCACCCACCACCGCTACCACCACAACCACCTTCAGTCAAAGGTGTCAACTTATGACCCGACCTGAAAAATCTAGTATCGGGTCGACCTGTTTAACAAAAACTGGTTGGGTTTTGGTTCTAATACCCGACCTGTTTGAAAAATCAAAGTGAGTTCAGGTCAACCCGCCAACCTAAAAATGACTCACGTGACTGCACTGCGTCCACTCCAGCCCACGTGGCTGTGTCCAGACTCCAACCTGCATGGTCACATCCTATTCCTACCCAGTCGCGCTCGACCCGTGCTCTGTGCTCTCCTAGATTCGCATGTCAGGTCGTGTTGACCCGGATTTGGGGCGGGTCATGTTCGGGTTCATATTTCTGACTCATTTGTGTAATCGGGTCGGGTTCCTGTTGGAGCAGTCTAGGGCGGGTCAGTTTCAGTTTGAACTTGAACTCGACCTAAAAGCCCATTTTAACACTCTTACCGTCGGCCACGACCGCTGCCACTTGCCGCCGGGGACCCGCCTTCTAGCCACCACCAACTGCTCGTCTTCAACAACCCTTGTCGCATGTGACCACCATCAACCACTACCCGTCGTCACCCAAAATCGCCCATCATTGCCACCACTAGCCTCTAGTGACCAACCACTAATCAACACTGCAATTGTCGGCCACCAACCACCATACTCTTTAAACTTTACATTGCATTCAGTTTACTTCAAACCAACTATAAAAAAATAATCTCACGCATTCCCTTTACACTCATCTAAAAAACGACGGAGCCACACCACAACAAGAAATTTATTGTGAAATTTTGGGAGAAATAGTACAAACATTTCTTCTCTCTCGCTCTCTCTTCGTCCTCTTCACCCTTGCACCATTCTCATACACACAAAACATAGAGAAACACATTTAAACTACCAAGGAACACAACCCTTCAAGAAAAATGAGTAAGAAAACTATCAGCCCGCCTCACAGCGTCACGATGCTCGACACTCTGTCTACAATCTGTTTGACAGCATCGTAGCGTTGGGTTCTGAAGCGCCGAAATGCTCCATGGAAGCACCGGAGCACCCTGCCCTATGTTTGTCTCTAAGCAAATTATGTAGCGCAGCAGTGCTCGGATACACAGCGCCACAATGTTGTGTGGTTGTACGACAAAAAAAAAGGTGTGCAAAGCATCCAAAACCCATGTAGGAGGACCCCCTGTAACCTCCCAACGAGCTCGATCAATGGAATTGAGGTCTGGGCAGCAGTATAACTCAATTGATCGACATAATCAGATTCCACACAAAACTAACATATAAACCTACCAATACTTGTCAAATTTTCCATGCGGTAGAAAAATAAAATAAAATCACGATGATACGTCCTGGACATGGTAAAAATATGACATAAAGCATGGGTGGGATAAGGCAGCCCGCATAAGCTCTTAGTCCACCTGATTCACTCCCTGGGAGCATTGGATATCACCGACCCTCATTTTAAAATGTTATATTTCCAGATTATAAGTTCCTCAATGATTTGACCACCTTAGTCATCTGTATTCACTGCATTTCAATCTAGTGAAGGAGCTAGTAATATTCCTCTTCCTTTGATTAAAAAAAAGATACTTTAATAACTATATAGTTACATGGCTTCATACATATACACACGAAAACACATTCCATACTATAATTGCATCCATATAGGTTTTTTTAACAATCTAGCTGCATTGTATTGTATATATATATCATTGTAACTGTATCCATGTTTCATATGTGTAAGCAAAAATATAATATCAAAATTTCAGAAACTTCATTAAAGAAATTAAAAATAAATCTACCTGCAGCCTTTGCAGCAATAGCTTCTTGGTAAACATCTGTAACAAATAAGATTTGTGATGGTGCATCTACTCCAACAGACTGTGATATCTCAAAATAACTCCTTGATTCTCGTTTGTTTCTAGAGATAAAAGAACAAAAATCATAGAAAACCCTTCAGCCTCAAAAAAGAAAAGAAAAAGACTATCTAAGAAAATAGCAACAAACTTTGCGAGGAGAAATATATCCGTAGGCATACGTAAGGAATGCGATCAAACCGAAAACCTACCCAACTGTCGTGTCAAAAAATCCGCATAAATACTTTCTCAAGTCCCCATGTTCTGAATGTCCGAAGACAAGCCTCTGAGCCTCTCTACTCCCACTAGAATATATGTAAACCTAGATGAAATTGCTGCTTTTAGTCAATATATGAACGTAACAACAAGATTTTGAACAAAACAGAGGAATACATTTGACAAATATAGAATAATGAGTAAATGACCAAAATGGTCATTAGATTTTTTAGATTCATTCCAAACATTTTCAGGTGTTCAATTTAATTCTTCAACTTACCAAATTTGAACAAAATTTTATCATTTTTAGGTATTCAATTTAATTGGTCCTACCGTCAATTTTACCATTTCTTAAGGCAAAAATTGGTGGAGAAAAACTTTTCATTAGATCATTTTTGACTTTTCATTAGAATATTTTTGACTTTTTAGGGTCAATCTCACTACTTAATACCAGCTCAAACTAATAAAATTGACCCTAAAAAGTCCAAAATACACACATGAAAAGCTTCCCTCCGCTAATTTCCATCCAAAAAATTGTCAAAGTTGATGACAGAACAAATTAGTTCAAAATTTGGTGAGTTGAGAGACTAAATTGAACATTTGAAAAAGTATGGAGTGAAAATGAGCACGCCTAAAAAATATAGGCATGGTTTAAAATTGCGCAATATGAGGCTCGCCTTGAGGCCCGCCTTTGCGCAATTCCAGTAAAAAATGCCTCGATGCTTACGCCTAGAGTTTATGAGGCTTGCGCCTCAACTTGGTTGAGGCTCGCCTTGAGGCCTGCCTTGCCTCACTGGCACGAGGCTTACGCCTCAAGCTATACATATTAAAACTTACATAAATCTTGAAGTAAATGCCCGACATTGGGCTCTATAGGAGAGGAGGAAGGGGAGAGAGCAGTTCATCATAATGCAGATTCAAATGAAGAACCCCTTAGTGATGACAGTGCTGATGACTTATGAGTTCTTATGTGATATGTCATTGCTATTTATTTTTGGAAATTGGAATTATATGTTAATGAAAAGAATACTGGGATTTGGGAAAGATAGAATTTTGAGTTGAACTATATTTCATGTTGTCTTATTATTGGGATATTTTGATTTCACTTCATATATTATGCTTTTTTTATGTTTTATATTATTCACTCATTACTATATAAAAAATTTGTCATTTTATGTTTACGCAATCTTTTGATTTTGAGGCTTAACGCCTCAAAACGCCTTGAGACTTACGCCTCGCCTCACGAATGAAAAACGCCTCAATACCCGAATACGCAATTTTAAACATTGAATATAGGGGCTATTTTGATCATTTAGCAGAACCATATAGGAAGTTCTAGGAGGTTGCAGCAGGTGGAAGGGGATTCAATGAGCATGGTAGCAGAATTTGAGAAGCAGGTCAAGAATGTTGCCGCAGATGAAGACTCAGAAGAAGTATACAAACTATTACAACGACGTTCAGAAAGGCATCAACAAACCACACAAAAAAGCAAGAATCAAGGGCAAATCAGATGAGCAGAATCAGGCTTTCTATGCATAGAACCTAAAAGCTGCAATAAGAGAGCTAACAGTATAGAAACTAAAACAACGTCACAGAAGAAACCACAATAGAGCAACATAATAATCTACAGGAGCAGTAAACTACAAGAACACCAATAACAGCTGCGCAAACCAAACTATATAATGAAATTTAATTAGGAGCAAATAATGAAAAGAAGGAACAGCAGCCAATATAAACGGCCATTAAGAACACACCATATAATACAAATTAACCAGTCAATTGAAACCTGTTCAAAACCGATCCATCAAAGAGATTTTATAAAGAAACATCATTGAAAAGAATTTCCTTTGCTGATTAATGTAATGGGCTTAGCGCTCTCTTTCTTGCAAAAGAAAAAAAAAATGTGCACTACTCTTGAATATAAAAATGAGAAGAGAGGATAATAGAAAAAAAAATTCTGATTGAATTTTATTCCCTTATTTTGGGTTTTAAAAAAGGATTAAAAAACGGTACATAAATAGGTGGAAAAATAACTATTTAAAAAAGGACCGGATCTAAAAATCAACCTTTAATTATAGAATCTACAAGTAACTACACAATATAAATAGAAAGAAAAAGGGAGCAACAAAGATTAATTTTCTTCCTCATGAAATTTCCTTGAAATGGAATGTTGCTTGCTATTCATGTGCTTTTGTAAATAAAAAAATGTTGTCCACGGATTACTAGATTATTGTAAATAATAAAATGTTAGCCACAAATTCAATATTATTTCAACACGTCCCATCAAGTTCGAGTTGTATATGTTGATCTGCACAACTTAATGATTTGATTCAATCATCAAAACTCATTTTGGGTAGCCATAGTAAGAATATTTGTTGTTTGAGAATTTCTTGCAACATAGTTTAGTTCACCCAGCCCATATTCAACTTTTCCTGAGATGAAATGTAAATATATCTCAATGTGCTAGTCTTGGTCAAGATCAAGTGGATTTTTTGCAATACTTATGATAGATTGGGTTTATCACAATACAATTTCAGAGATTCTTTTACTCAATAATTTAATTCTTTTAACAATCTTTTTAAGCATAATTCTTAGCAGTACCAAGTACTAGTGCCTTAAATTCAACTTTAACAATGCTTATTGAACCAAATATTATTGTTGACTTCTCCATTTAACTAGGTTTCCCCATAAATAAGTATAATAAATATAGGTGGATCGTTAATCGGATTCGTGATGTAGGACTAAATGTGTTTGTTGATGTTTTACCTTTAAAATTATACGCTTTTGAAAGAGAAGAGAAATTAGTCACTTCCAATGACTTAAACGATGAATGAAAACACTAAAATAATGATTTAGTTAAAGCAATAGAATACATGATAAAGATTTAGAGCACAAAATAACCAATCAAATCAGATTTTGCTTAATGTGGGGTTTTCGAAAGAAATTCCTTAATTAATATTTAAAATAGTCACTATTTAAGATCCTTCACTCTCACTCTTAATAACTGGTTAAGCGAAGAAAGCTTGCAAGATCTTTGAGATGCAACAATTGAGAGGGACTTGGAAGAAATAAAATTCGGAAGAGAGTTCACCTTTGTCAGGATTTGGAAGTTGCCAATGAATGGGAGGTTGTCGTTGATCGATAGCGATGGCGAGGGAGAAAAGGATTCGTTCCACGTAATCTTCAATGGAGAGATCATTCTCTAGGTCAATGTCGAAGAAAGGAGATCGATGGATGTCAATGAACACTTGGTCGTCGAATATGAAGCCATGATCAAGCTCCAGATCAGCCATTCAAAGGAAGGAGGAAGCATAACATGTAATTTTAGATTTTGTGGATGTATGGTAGGGGAAACAACAATCAGAAATCTGAAATTAATTCCAGCAAATAGAAAATATGAAATTAATTTGGAAGGGATTGAATGAGGGGAGAGTTAATTGGAGGGAGCAAAGAGGGAAAGAGGGAGAGAGAGAGGGGGGAGAGGTGTATGGGAGTGGGGAGGGGATGTGGGAGGGAATTAAGGGATTGAGATAGATTACTAATCAAAGCCAATCTAAATGGAGAAAGAGGCTTTAATGCAATTGTCTCTCTAAATTAAATTTGAATTTAAAAGGCCTTGATTGGAGGGACTTCCCTAATATAACTTATCTTATTTTAGAAAAGAATTTCAAATTCTAATTGAATTAAAATATGAAATTAAAACCTTTCTAATTTAAGATGCATCACATATGGAAAGTAATCAATTAGGGATTTGAAATTTGGAGGCAAAGGGAGATGTGGCCCGCAGCTAAGAGGGGATTAGGGTTTAGGGACGGCAGCTAGGAAGGGGAATAGGGTTTAGGTTTAGGTCGGCGACTATGAGGAGGGTAGGGATCCTTGTGGCCGGCGGCTAGGAGGAGGGAGGGGCTTTGGGCTGGCAGCTGGGAGTGAGGAGAGGTGGAGGCCAGCGGTTAGGAGGAAGGGGAAGGGGCTTTGGGCCAGCGGCTAGGAGGGGAGGTGGGTGATGGGATGGCGATTAGGAGGAAGAGGGAGGGCCGACAGCTAGGAGAAAGGAGGGACAATGGTGGAGGAGATGGACCACGAGCCCGGGTGCTTCCTGTGACTGATGGGTAGTACATTGCCCTCACTTAGAGACTTCAATGTTCACAATAGCTCTCAACTCTCCAAGACACAAGAGCAGGAAATTTAATCATAATATTCATCATCCCCTCAACAGGGAGACGAGGGGCTTTAAATAGCCAAAATACAATAGCAAGATGAAAGACAAAAGTGCCCCTAAGGGTCAAAAACAACTACTCCCTCAAGTGAGGGTAAAAATGGAAAAGCTGCGATAATAAATCAAACACGCATATAATAAATAAATAATAATAAACCTAATACAAATGATAACTCAAAAATAAAGTAGTGCGATCGTGGCCGTAGATCATCGGTCCCTTCTCTGGTAGACTCTCCATGGTCGGATGTCCTCATCAATTCGTCTCCAACTCAATCAATATTTATGCAAATTTTGATTTCCTTGTTAGATGATTTTTTCTATAGCAACACTTAAAATGCGGTTAGCATCTTCCGTATGACATTCAATTGAGTTGTTCATATATTTACTTAAAACACTCATATGAAACCAAATATCAAGACGGGAGAGAAAGATAAATGAGTTTGTTAACAAAGGTTTGATAAACTACCTTTATCAACTAGCCTTCTGTTAGTGCCGATAAAATTTTTTTGCCAGGTCCATTAGAGTTTCTGTGGACTTACATCAAAGCATTCTCATCTCATAAAGTAGATGAATAATACATAAATTTGGAAAATAAAAATTTGTTTTGATTGTGCAACTTACATGTCAAGAAAGAATTTCAGATTGTCCACACCTTTTACCACAAATTCTTAATTGGGTTAACTCTTCTTTAAAGTCAACTGAAAAATATAGAATTATCTACATACACTATCAAAATTATTTTTTCCCCTTTAGGTGAGCGTTCAATTAAGAGCGAGATTAACTTGGGAGGGACTGAGTATACCCAAACTTTCAATAGATTTGGATAATCTACTAGAAATATTAATTTTGCATCAATAATCCCAATCATTCTTTATTATTATTCATAGTCTGTAAGGGCTTCTCCGCCTAGTAGGTTGCTAACACAGCCTAACTCAATGAATATACCGAAAGATGAGGACCTTTGGAGAGTAGACATAGATCGATTTCGATCGAACCACTAAATATCCGGTTTACGTACTTTAGTTTATGACAATTTATTTTCAGTACTCTGGTTTGCTTTTGATTATTTTTGTTAAAATTTTCTTTGGCTTTCTTTTTGTAATCTTAGCGAAAGAATTTTTCGGGTGATAAATCTCTAGTTGAAGTTTTTATTTTTGAAATTAAAAATAAAAAGAAAATTAATAAAATATATTTGTTTTCTAAGAATAAAAAAAAAACTTATTTGCTTTTGATTTTGTTTGAATAGATTATTCTCTAAGTACATCATTGTCAACGAGAATCCAAGAAATAGAACAATCAAATCTTGATTAAATTTATCATCATTCCTACACAACCATCTGATATGAGTCAACAAAGATAAATATTTTCTTTCGCTAATCCAATATATTGGAGCTAAATGCAAATCTTACAAAGCCTATGGACTAGCTTCAATCAAAAGTTCTATCAAAGTTGAGTGAGTAATTAACTATAGTTGTGCCTATGAGAAATCTCAAATCAGATCATGAAGTCCTTGTTAGAGAAAAAAAAAATTAGGTATTTGTTATCCAATTCGTGTTTAGACAAATTGACTCAAAATTATTTGAATGTTTGACAAAGATCACTCGGGATTTTTTAGCCCAAAGAATTGCATGCATTAAAAATCATAGAGTGAGATTTATATGATATGTAATTATGGGAGATTGTGAGACATGAGGCTGCAAGTAGGAGTGGGCAATGGGGCAAGTCATGGGAATTGTTTTGTGTACAAATCACTTGATATAGGACTAAATTGGGGTTGCATGACACTAGTGTTGATTGAGTTATGTAGATGCGAGTGAGCAAAGAATTCAAGATTTACAAGTTTAGCTGCAAGAAATTCAAACTTGTGAATGGAAACATTCATGTGGGTGAGTAAAACATGCCACATGGTCGATTTGCACTTATGTGGGCAATTTGCATGCAAATAAGTGAGAAAACTATGAGAAGAAGTTGTTTATCGAGAGGGATGCGGATCATCATTTGCAAGTGAGTGGGGTCATGGGAGATGTTGTTGCAATGCAAGTAAAGCAGAGTAACACAACGAGCAATGTGATGAATTGGGTCGAGATCATCAATGTTGTTTGAAAAACATTCTGAGAGGAGAAAGACATCGAAAAAAGGGAATTTGAGGGGTTGTGGGCACTTATCAAAGGAATAAAGGCATCCTTCTATCACTACCTCAACTCCAAAATGATCTTTCGCCCTTTGATGGAAGACATACTTTCTCTAGACAAAGGAAAAAAAAATGAGCTTCTTGGTGTCAAGATGGAAGTTTGTGTGGTGAGCTTAAATCTCCAATAAGACCTTGTTGAGCTTCCCAGTGAAGCACAAAAGAATGATGAGGTTAAACATAACAAACTAAAAGTTCTCCATGTTGATGATGGGGTAGTGCATACCATAAGAACAAAGAGGTCGGAGACATGGGAGAGAGAATTAGAGGGAAAGAGAGAGATCCAAAGAGGGAGTAAAGCAGTTTAGGAAGAGGAATCAATAGTCGAAGTAGTGGAGTAGGATGCAGAAGGTAACAACAAATAGAAAGAAAAGAGCTCGAGAGAGGTAAAAATTAAGAGTGGCAGAAGGAACGGTTCAAGATTATTGACTGTTGTGGAGTTTTAATACACTAAAAACTCTTGGATTCAAGTACTTTGGCTTTGAAACCAAATTGACTAAGAGCGGACAACTATAATGAAGAACTGTGGTGTTTTTTATTTTCATTTTTTTAATAGAAGGGGAATAATAAGGTATAAGGGAAGAACCAGGAAGATAAAAAAAAAAGGATTGAAAAAATTGGATGGATGAACACAATGCTTCAAAAGGAGACATGAAGAAGAGAAGCAAAAAAGAAGAAGAAAATCCTAGAACAGAGAATGAATCCCTTGAGAGAAGCCAAAAGAAAATCCTTTCTTTATTCCATTTTCAACTTATTGAATAATAAGACTTTGAGCCTTATTTATAGAAATAGTCATCATTGAAAAAAAAAATCAAGTAGAAAACTATTCCTAAATAAAAATGCCATTTAACTCTAACTCCCCTTAACAACCATTGTTCATTAAGATGACAATAAGATGCTTTCCAAAATTTTGAAAATGTTCATTAGGATCTACAGTGAATCTTCCATCAATATTGTGGATGTTGGTGGTGCCCCTTTTATCATAATGGATGAAGGAAGACTTACGAATATAAAATTAGTTGCATTAATAGTTTTTGTTTCAACGGAGGTTTACCCTTTCTATTAGCAATCCCAAATAGTTAAGTATCATCGACTTTTTCACTTTTTATACTGTTTAAGTAGTTTGTACGCTAGCTATTTCTTTGATCATTTATGATTTCTATCTTGACTTGTTGAATAAGATATTATTTCATTATTGACTACCTATTTTGCTATGCTTTGAACGGACTTGGTGAAAAAACGTAGTAGATATAATGATCACAGTTAACAGAATTGACGCTTGTGTAGCTTTGATTTTTACTCTTAGTGGCAGTAAACCCTTCTATGCATCACTTCTAACTTTGCACATACACAACAGTTATGCAACGGTAATGTAAGCCACCCTCTAAATCCACAGCTCCTTGACTATTTTCTTTATGTAACCAAATGCTATTGCCCTTCCTTTATTCAACCAGCCTGTTTCAATCTCTCCATTCCTCCTCATAGATGTCACTAACAGTCTAAAATCGCCAATCTTTACCTCCACAGCATCATTCTTGTTCTCTGCTTTATACGGGCGTCAAATTCACCATTGTTGCTGCTTCCACACCTCGGCCATGACTTCTTCTAGCAGCCAGTGACGGCATCACAGCTTCCTGTGCCCCTTATGACCCACAGTTTCTCTTCTCCTTCAACCTTTCTTGACCTCCTCCCCATTCAGGCTCAACCTATATATAGTTCCTATCCGACGAAATCTTAAATCAATGCGAGAGGTTTAATAAGAATACAGTCAAGTTTCACAACTTTAGCATCTGACAAGTATTAGGATGCCTACACAGGTTTCATAGAAAATCGGTCGACCAGAATATGACCTGAAAAAATTAAGCAGAGTGCTGGTTGACTTGCAAACCCAAAAATGATGCATGATGGACATTAAGGAGCAGGTAAAAATAACTCAAGTATAGAAGAATTGACTTGACCCTTCTAGAACCAACCAAACATGACCCGTTAACACATTCTTGACAAATTTGTGAACCAAGTACAATACTTTACCCAAGCAACGGTGTTAGCACTAATCATAAAATTATGTATGCAGCAAGGGTAAGATAACCTGTTTATTATTAAGGTCAGGATTGGGTCAAAAATAGAGATTTTTGGGTGAGCAGAGCTCAAACAGTTTCTTCTGTATTTGGTTCGTAGTTTGCTCAATATTATCTGGTATTGATACTAAAAAAACTCTAGAACTAAATAATGCAAAGCAAGAATACTAACTTAGTGCAACTAAAATAATTGAGCTATCTTCACCTAATTTTTTTCTTAAGGATATAGCCCCAGCTTATTACATGTGCCAGTTTAAGGTACAGTAGAATGGTTCTTGCACTAAAGGGCTGAACCAAAGCCAACCCAAGAAACCCCATAGATGCTCCTACCCTCATAGCAATTCACTTCTAACGTTCAATCGGAAGACTGAAACATCCTAAAATTTATTTGGACCATACCTTGATGCCATTCGTGTGCCACCTCTTAAGAGCTTCAGGGACATCATCAAAGACCACACCTTGTAGTTCCTTATTTTCAAAACCAGCTCTCCATATATGGCCCTGCTTGTAAAGCATAGAAAAAACTACTCTGAGATAGCCGTGGAGTTATGCTCACAAGATTTCTAAAGCAACTTCAGTTTGATTACCTGCAACTGTTTCAGTGCTGTAAGTTTTCGGTCAGCCTTTATCATCTCCTCAACATGAGTTACTAAGAAATCAATCACTTGCTCTTTCCCAGCTTCATCGGGTGGAATTGGTACATAACCTGAAGGTTCCTTCTCCAAATCATCCAAAATCTACATAGAATATGCTTCCAGATTCAGATGCCGTAAATAAGAAATAAAAATGTTTCTTAAAAACTAAAAAGCAAGCAAAATTCATGGACATCCAACACATTTCAGTTCAGTCTTATGTTTAGTGTTTAGAAGAAAAGAATACAACAAGTTGTTAGTTTTCATTTCCAAAATTAAACTTGCTAGTCGACTGCTCCTCAACTCATGACATGTTCTATTCATGGATAGATCATAAGGTTATAAAAAAAAGGCAAGCTCTAGAAGGCCAAAATCGCATATCCTTTCAGAAACCCGTCAGCACGCCTTAGGACTTGAAAAACATCCAGGCTACATATCAAAAGCCTATATGCTATGACAATTCATGTCACGACCAAACAAAATCATTACTATAATAAAAGAAACATGAGTACTCATCTTAAACTTAGATAGTGCCACTTTACTTTTGCCCTTCATTCTGATGTTGGTAGATTTAATGCCTATGAAAAAATCCCGCCATTAAAATAATTAGTTTAAAATATAATTATCCTTATTTCCAATTCGCTAGCATCATTTTAAATTTAATTTCGATTTATATGAGCATAACATCTAAAAATTTAAATATTAATTTGATACATTTTAATTAATTATATGATATTATTATTGAATTTGTCAACTGTTAAGTTCCAACTAAATCTAAATATCTTCTCTATAACTCATAATTTATGTTTTTTATAATTTTAGTCATTATTATCAATTTTTAAATTTTAAATTATACAATCTAATAACATAAATAATTAATCCTAATAAAGTCTTGAAATATACAACAATTATCACTATAAAATTAACTTTAATTAAATCTTTTTTTCCTAAAAAATTAACCTTCCTTTTCTCAAAAGTATCTTCTAAATTAATTCTCTTAATTTATAAATTAAATTAAATAAACACTAAAAAAATCCCCACTTACAAAAATTTCATCCTCGAAACTTACCTATGACTTTCAATTATAGACTTATATGTACTATGGTAAGTTAAATTGAACATAACTTCTCGATACTTAATCAAAATAATATCTTAAATTTCATTCAACAAAAACTTTATCAGTTACTTTATATTTCAGTATTTATTTTAAAAAAACTCTCGCACATAATCATTTGAATGACTCTCACTTCACAAATCTCATGCTTCTCATCTCGAGCCTATCACTTTCTATAGCACAGTCAATCGATCACTTGTTCATTTCTCATTCTTAATTACTCTTAACCCAACCTCGCAAAACTTACAAACCACACAATCCTCCTTAACAACGTGCCCTCCCTCACATGTTCTCGCCAAAATACAAACCACTTCACCAATCTCACGTGTGTTCTTCAAATTTGCCATCTCATCATTGCTTCAAGCTCAATAGCATTTCTTCGACAACCAATCAATGTTGCTCTTCCTTCCTTTTCGAGCGTCGTCGACATTAGCTCCTACATCCTCGAACTTTACATCAACCCCAGTACCGTCGACAATCTCAAAATTATGCCCCTTAAACATCATTCTAATGCCACTCGTCATTCCTCTTAAGGCAAGCTAATGGTGAACTCCTACATTCTTGGTCTCCCTACCTAGGTTTTCATTCCTACTTCAACCCGCCTCATTCCCCCTTCAACCCCCCCCCCCCCCCCCCCCACTCAAGCTTTCAATCTCTTGACCCATCTCCAACTTGTTATCGATCATCTCTCAAAAACCTCTGACTCAACATCAATAGCCTACCCCTATGCGACTTCAAACTCCCAACATGGTCGTCAGATGCCCATCAAACTTAAACCTCCTCTTCCAAGCTTATCGGCAATGATCGACACTCAAACATCTCAGTGTTCACCTCTCTTTCTCCCTCTCTATCCTTCTCTAAGTAAAACATATAGAGTTACAAAAAAATTTATACTATAAAAAAAAAGTGAGATTTCCTTCTCGCTAGAAATCTTGCCCATGAAAATGCTTCGTATAAGGTATAATTTGACAATGGTGTGACAGTCTAATTAAAGTATCATATGGGTCTTTCTTGATGCAACGAGGAAATCCCATGTTTGTATATTTGCTCCTGTAGGTTACGACGCATATACACATTTCTTGGCATGGTGGTGTAGAAAACTCAACCCTAGTGTCTGATATACACCCACACACGCTTTTTTTGATATGGTGAGCAGACCTAACATGTTATCTGACACGCTCTACATGTGGGTGATGCAGAAGCGTTGCCAAAATATTTTCTACACTCACTTGAAAAGAACCAAATTAAAATGACTTTGTATTGCATTACACAAGAAAATTAAATTACATGCAAAATTATAAAATGAGGACACTTGATTTTGCTACTTGTTGCATCAAATGAACTGAGCATAGAAAAAGGACTTCCAGAGGACTCGACAGCTCGCTTAAGAGCACAAAGAAAACTTTCTCACTACTCTTAGAACTCTCAAAACTATTGATTGAAAGTGAGAAAAGACTACAAAATATGACTATGACAGCACTCCTATTTATAAGTAGAAAAATATTTCCAATGGGGTCTATATGGATAAAAATCAAACTAAACAAAAATAAAATTAACCAAGGTTTGCTGTTTTAAATGTAAAACAAAACTCTAACTCGCAACATTCATAATAAGATCCACAAACAAGCATAATTCAGTTCACTGGGATGTTCTCTAAAGATCTCCAAGCAAATAGAATGCAAGTAAAATCTCAAAATAAAAGATGTGCGCACATTTTAATGACTATATTTGCATGAACAATTGAATCTGGACCATTTTAAAATCTAGTACATGTGTCATGAGACAAACTACTTAACTACAATGACTCGCACGTCATGTAGGCAAATAAAACTTCATGCAATGAACTAATGAAATTTGTGCACACAATCTAACGATGTAGTATCTACCATCAAAGACATCAACAAGTGTGTTTGCATAAAGGGTGTGAACACTAACAAATGTGCTAATTTTTAAAAGCAAATCAATTGTCAAAAGTGAACTCTCACATGTACTCTAAAAAGAATGCATGTAAAACCCGAAAACGACGATCGTAGGTGGTCGCACGCTTTTCAATGCGTCGCGACGAAACTTAAGTAAAAATTTCGAAGTTAACGGAATTTTATGGAAATAATTTTATAACATCTTACGCAAAATTCTGATCGTTTTGATATATATAACCTTTTTTAAATTATGTGTATTTTGGGAATTATAAAATTATTAAGATTAGAAATGCCAACTTTACCCCTAAGCTTTCAAATGGCCAAATTTACTTAAGTGAGGGTATAATGGACTTTTGGCTTCTCCTATTTCCCTAAATTGGCAAAACCGAACCCCTCCCTCATTTGTTTCGCACGTTTGGCCGAGAGAAACCGAAGGGGAGCGGCAGGATAAGCGACGAAGCAAGGGCGACGGCGGCTCCAATGACGTTTTTCCGGCGAAAAATTTAGGGGAAATCGAAGAGGATGTCAAGAGAAGAAGAAGGTATGTCTTAAAATTTTGTTTCCTCTTCTAAATCTCAAGATATTTAGAGATGAAGTTTCTAGGGTTTTTCAAAAAAAAAATGCGTATTCTTCCAAAATTCTTTACGAAATGGATTTGTAAGGATTAAGAGAGATGATTTAATGAAAGAATCAAAATTTTTGGATAATTTTTTGGAAAACGAAAATTAGGGCTTTATCCTAAAACCAAATTTCAAAACTTATTTCAAAGGGCCTTTGATTTTAAAACAAAAAATTTTGATTTTTAGTGAAAATCTCATTTTTTGTAATTTCCTAATATTTAGGAATAATTTTGGCTTATAAACTTCATGAAATTTAAGAGTTACGATTTTCCGAAAATTTAGATTAATTTATTTAAAATTCATTAAGTGTCGTAAGAAATAATTAAGGGGAAAACGATGGGTTTCAGCTTAATACTTAGATTCAACCTTAATGAAGATTGAATTATGAGACACGTCTGTTTTTGTAATTTTTCTTAGATTGTGATGGTTAAGGTGAAAGAGTTGTGTCGAATTGACACTTTGAGGAAGTGTCGTGCTTAAGAGAGATAGGTACTTATATTTAAATCAAATTCATGTCTTTAAATTCTCTAAATTTTCTTAAATAAAACATGTTCAGCTTATAAATGTTCTATTTCATACAACTATTTCATATTTGAGATTTCTTTATGTTATTACGCAAGATAGATTTTATATTTGCTTATTGTCACATAACTGAATTTTTTAGATAGACATGAGAATAATTATGCAAGAAACGAATTGAACGAACACATATGAAATTCTAAATAACTTAAGCCCTATGAGATCTATTATGATTGCATGTGCATGTTGATCGAGAAGTGCTAAAATGGTAATGGGGTTCTACAGAGTCAAATGGTAAAGGGGCTTGCAAAAGCTAAATGGTAATGGGGTTCTTCGGAACCAAACGGTAAAAGAAATGGCCAAAACACTGTGTACCTGATCAGTACAAACACTGATACTGCCGAGATGGGTGTATAATTTATGATCAAGTATTTTATGCATACAAATGAAAGGTTAAGATAAAAAGAAAAGTTGATGAAAGGAAAAGTTTAGGAAGAATGAAGATCTTTAAGGAAATAATTAAAGAAATTTTTTCATGAAAAGGTTACCAGTTTATGCATATCAATGTTTGATTTTAGTTTCTCAAAGTATTCTGAATAAAAAAATTTCATGATAAATATTTTGTTTTTAACTAAGTCATGAATTTGAGATAAATACATGTTATCTGCTGAGCGTTGGCTCATCCTACGTTTGAAAATATTTTTCAGGAGAAATTATTAAGAAGTGATGGCTACGAGATGACAGTATACTTACCGTCGTAGTCTCGTAGAGGACCTTAGGAAGAAATATTTTTTTTATGTTTTCTGTTGAGTTTGAGTTTGAGTTATGTAGTTTGTACCTGTGTCTGAACAGTTTATTGAAGTTTATGTAATTGTGGTTTTATATATTTTAGAAGTTATGTGAGAAGAAACAAACTTTGGATAACTTTGGTAATGATGTTATTAGTGGCTTTTTCATATAATTGGATGATGTTTATGTCCTGTCATTAAAACTTTAATGAAATTGTTTATATTTTATATGTGCTTTCCATACAACCGACTATTCCCGCCCCGTTATTTTCGGGCTAGCTGGGTCGGGTCGTGACAATGCACATCCTTTAAACTATGCTTATTCACTAAAATCAAACTCATATAGCTGTTCTAAGAAGTGTGATGTGTCATATTAAAATTAGAGTATATTTAAGGAGAATTAAACTTGCATTTTATAGCTCCAAAAAGTGTGTAATAGCTTTAACATATATGCAAATTCTCTTTTAAAATCAAAACTCATCATCTCGTACGCACACTCTTGAATGAGCCGCCCTAATTAACACTCACTTTTCAAAGTCCAATATTTCAGGTTACAATGACTAGAGCTGACAAGATTTATGCTTCATAACAAATGCTTACATAAATATTCAAAACGATCTTGATTTGTTGAATCATTTTGTTAACTAAGTTGACTAAAATTATAACAACAAGCATTTATCCCATCATGTGGGGTCAGCTACATGAATCATTTTTCTCCATTATATCAATTTTTCTCCATTATGTCCTATCAAGAGTCAAATTCCCCTATGTAAAAATATATAAATTTAAAACATACAAAATCTAAAAATGTTCAAGCAACAAACAATTGCTTCAAGCTTAAAGCAACAACTCATCCATCATCTGCACCTGTTTGTAAATAATGTTAAGTTTGACAAAAGATCATAAAAAACTATCATATAAAGTGTATCTATATGATCCTTTCAAAAACCTGACACCAATAAGGACATGACACGCACAATCAGACTAGGTGGTCTACCGGCAAGTGACACTATTATATTATAATTATGGTCAAAGCCCGAATATTCCCCAATGACTCAGCCCATGAGTTGTGAACCATAAGATGTACCTAAAAGTATATTAAGCTCTCTATTAGCTAATGTTGATTTAAAATTAACCTCTTAGGCAAATGTCCATTGGAGGTCTATAATGTCCCCTTAGATGATGCAAGTCATGGTTGTTGACAAAGATCAATCAATTAGATTGGCAAGATTAACTCTGCTGACCAAATAGACTAAGGTCCATGATCACTAGGGATGATAAAACATTGGGATCTTAATTATGTTCATGATCATTCCTCCACCAACCGCTCTAAGCTAACAAAAAATTACTATAAGCTAAATATTTAAAGACTATCAACTAACCTTAATCAAATGTTCGTTCTGGTGATTGAAAGGAATAATTAATAATTGGGGATTGTGCTAAGGAAAAACTTAATCAGATGATAAAGGCCACACAAAATGATGGTGAAATTTTTTAATAGGGCCTTATTTGATATCTAATCTATCATCTAAAAAAATGGCTCATAAACACTCATAAAAAGAGCCAATGGGAATTTTTTAAAGCCCACAGAAGGTAATGATAAGCATAAGAATAATTGTTTCTTTTCAAATTGGAGCAACCTATAGAAAGAGAGTAAGCAACCCATTTACTGTTCTGATCAACTTCTTCCATGGAAATAAAATGGATCAAGTAACAATAGTGAAAACAAAAATACAGTAGCCATGAAATAAAACGTGCATGGAAGATGCACTAAACTTAAATTCTTACTTGAGCACGCAACAGCTTAATGTCATCTTGAGTTTCCTCACTATCATATGTGGACATCAAATGTTTCCGCACATTATTACGGGCATAAGGAAAAAGAACTTCAGTAACGAAAGATACTGGTGTAGTTGTCCCCTCAATGTCAAGTAGAATGCATTTCTGAAAACCATCAAAGATAACCCTGCTTAAAATCCCTCATTTCAATCAGATGAAAAAGCTGAAGAATTGACTGGAATGGTTGTCAGATGTTAAAAAGGCAATGCAAAATTTTCAAACTAAGCGATAAAATCATCTAAAATATTAAATATAGACATCGCAAGCATCCATCCCCCAACACCCCACTAAAAAAACAATTAATAACGGACGCAGCAACCTTACCCTCTGTTTGTCAGGAGCCTGAGTTCCATTGGCAAGTCCAGCTTCCACAGAAGTATCTGAAGTTATATAGCCACATTTTTTATATGGATTATTAGGACCGTGACTTGGACTTGTCCAGTCAATGCCCAACTGATGGAGCTTGATTGCAGCTTCAAATAGATAATGATAACATTCTGCCTGAAGAATTAAAACACGGAAAAATTTTGCCTAAAAATACAGTCATCAGCTTCTCAAAAAAAAAAACAGAACACAGGCTGGTGCATAATAGTTAAAGGTATTACAGGCAGAATGGCACAAGTGCAAGCTAAAAGAAAAATGACAACATCAAAGGAGCTGAAACCGCAATTTATAGAAAAAACATACTGATATATAATCAAAAAATTATCTTGATCACGCACGAATCTCGAGGCAAAATCAAGTTGGAAATTCCAAAAATTAAGTTTGGGACCATCTGAAATCCGATTTCAACAAACTTATAGTTGAACTAAACGTCTCAGAATTACGAACCCAACGACACTAAATTTGACTCAATCTGAGTCCAAATCAAAGACCCGAAGCACATTTGGAAGGTTCAAACCATAATTTGGTTTACCAAACAATTTCCAAACATGACATGCTTATATTCGAATTGATCGGCTCGACGAGACGAATCCAACAAGCCCAAGATCACTAAATTCTGATATCATTAAACATTCAAATATCCAGTAAACGGTCCACAATCAAGGGAATCAACATCATCTATCCATTCAAATCACTCCCAATTTACCATTAATCTTCCTCCTATTTACTGGTCATGCCACTCTAAGAAATCTATAAATAGACCCCTCGCTCTCATGAAGAGGGACCTCAAGCAAGGAAGCAAGAAGAGAGATCGGAGATCGCTCTTGCCACCTAGCTCTTCCTCGACCACCGTCGGGCTTCCGCCGGACCACTGTCTGACACAGACATCCGTCGAACCACCTACTGAAGCCCGAACTTCTGCCGAACCATCGCCTGATGTCGTACTTCCACCGGACCACCACCCGACACCGGACTTCCGCAGGACCACCGCCTGACGTCGGACTTCCGCCGGCCCACCGCCTGACGTCAAACTTATGTCGGATCACCTCCCGACGCTGGACTTCCACCGGACCACCAACGGATGCCGAACTTCCGCTCGACCAAACGTCGCCAGACCTACGCCTGACCTTCGTTTGTCACTAGATTTCAATCAGACAGTTGTTTATTGTAATCTGATCACCGTCAAGAACGATTCAGTCAACTGTAATCTACTCAAACACTACTGGAATCATTTCAACTGGGCGTGGCCCCGTGGTTTTTCCCCTTTTCAGGGGTTTCACGTAAAAACTCTGGTGTATCTTATAAATATTGCACCCTATCTTTTTATCTGATTATGTGCTAGATTTTCATACAAAGTTAAGATACTAAACTTTATATTTCTCTACCGCCGCGAATATTCTAGGATGCAACACAGACATAAATGGTATTGTTCCGTTAAGCTTATAAAATTGGTTAGGCAAAATGATGTCAAGATAATCAGCAGCAATATAAACATAAAACATATTTGTTAAAATGGAGATGTCATGCAGTCCGCCCAACTGCCCCGACATCCTGAAAGACGACTTTTTCAATTCACTGCTTGAATTGTTTCTACAGTAAAAATAAATAAATAAATAAAAGGAATGAACCACCAGTTTTTTTTTTTTTTTAACAATGATCTCAACGCCTAGCGTACCTGATCATAAAATAGTTTAGAAAGTCAAATGCCTGATATTATTATATTATAAGGATTAATATATGGTAGTTGCAAATACTTGTGAGAAAAAAAAAAAGCAAAAAGCGCCAAATTTAATAGAGATCGTTAAATAACTAAAATAAGTATTTGGTTTAAATGTACACATTTCTAAAAATAAGTTTATTTAATTTTGTGTGACCCATCAATGCCCTAATGAAGGCCTAATTAACCCAGTAGTAAAACTACTTACCCAATGATTATATCACGTGATCAGTTCAATATCAATGATTTAACTTCTTCTAGCAGCAATGTTAACCCGTTATCAACAACAATCTAGCAGCAATCTAAGTTTAACCCCAATTGGAAATACTATTGCACTGGTTGAAACTGTAAAAGTTATCAGTGATAGATAAGAAGGGCAAAAGATTCAGGCCAGAAGTTTGGAGTCATTTTGACTTGATTTTTCTAAAAGAAATGAAAATATAACGATCGTGTTGTCATATTTGAAATAAAATTGACGCCACATCTCATATGACTAAACATTTTAAGACTCATCGTTACAATAAAATAGACGATAAGGGGAAAAATAGAAAAATCTTTGATCCAATTGCTCGGGATATTCAAAAATGAAAAATGAAAAATAGCATCATCCTTGTGAGTAATCTCCACAGCATGAAGTCTAAAATGTGTTTTTTCACCACTTACTTATAGGGTTGAAATAGCTACAACAAAGATTATACCTAGAATAAATAGAAAAAATAGTACATTATGTGACCAATGAAGCCTTCCACAGACATATAAACTAGCTGGATGGTCTACACATAGGCGCCTATCTCTGGCATGGTCCCCTCCCCTCTGCCAAGTACCTTGGTCAAGTCTTTAAAAGAGAGTACTTTGGGTGAGTTTTCGGGACCTAGCATGTAGACCAAGTCCGTGAAGGCGAGTCCCTGAGCAAAACCTAATACTAGCCTCGGACAAGTTTGGTCCATAGATTTATGTTTGTAGATTACACATGTTAGTACTTCTTGTAACTTGATCTGATACACCCATGGGAGGTTGGTGCTCTCAGTTATGGATAGTTGCTTTGGGGGAACCAATTCTCTTAGGGTGAGTGCCCTCTAAGGCGAAGGCCTATCTGAGCGAGTCCTTGAGGGGTCTGTCAAGGACAGTTGCATCCTCAATTTGATCTTCCAAGGTGAGTATGTATATCATGATCTCTGCAGAGTGAGTGTTGCTTTGACCACATGCTCCCCCCTGATGGGATACCTACAAGTTACATATATGTGTAAACAGATTCAGGTAAATAAATTAATAATGTTTCATAAATTCTTGGTACTTTTAAGTTCCCTTGATATATTTCAGCCATCGTTCCCATCTATTATATGAAAACATAAAAGCTTGTTAGTGAATTTACTTATAATTACTTCCTGTAATTATGATTTTGATATGCAGAGCGCGAACAAATGCTTTCGAATTAAGATGTAAAATGATATGTAGAGCATCTAGTTGAAGATGTTCACTAAAGATGACAATAGATTGATTATATATATCAGGAGTGCACAAACAGATTTAAGAAACAAAAATGACACAGGATAAAGAAACAAAAAATTTCTTTCTAATCCAGAGAAGGCTTGCTGAAGGAAAAGGCAAATAAAACAAAATATATAGCAGAATTTGAAAACTGACAATCCTGCGAAAGCAAAAGGCATTCATCTAATTTTCAAATACCAATCAAGATGAACAAGTTATAATAAAAAAAAAAAAATCCAAGTTCAAACATAAGAACCAAACCTGAGTTTTGGCACTTATCCAAGAATCTCCCCAGACATATATCCCATGATTTCGCACAAGCACTGCTGTTGCCTTTGGGTATGCTGAAATCTGTGAAAGCGCAATCAAAGTGAGCAACTGCCACAAAAACAACATTCATGTTATATGAAATGCTAGATTTGTCTATATGATGATTAGAGGCCCTTGTTTCCTACGTGTTGAAGTTCTTACAGTTATAATTTATGTCTTTAAAAAGTTTTAGAAGTTATGGTTTATTTGCCTGTCCGATTTTCGTTCCCGCCTCGTCTATACGAGCTAACCGGACCGGGTCGTGACAAGTTGCATCCTCAATTTGATCTTCCAAGGTGAGTATGTATATCATGATCTCTGCAGAGTGAGTGTTGCTTTGACCACATGCTCCCCCCTGATGGGATACCTACAAGTTACATATATGTGTAAACAGATTCAGGTAAATAAATTAATAATGTTTCATAAATTCTTGGTACTTTTAAGTTCCCTTGATATATTTCAGCCATCGTTCCCATCTATTATATGAAAACATAAAAGCTTGTTAGTGAATTTACTTATAATTACTTCCTGTAATTATGATTTTGATATGCAAAGCGCGAACAAATGCTTTCGAATTAAGATGTAAAATGATATGTAGAGCATCTAGTTGAAGATGTTCACTAAAGATGACAATAGATTGATTATATATATCAGGAGTGCACAAACAGATTTAAGAAACAAAAATGACACAGGATAAAGAAACAAAAAATTTCTTTCTAATCCAGAGAAGGCTTGCTGAAGGAAAAGGCAAATAAAACAAAATATATAGCAGAATTTGAAAACTGACAATCCTGCGAAAGCAAAAGGCATTCATCTAATTTTCAAATACCAATCAAGATGAACAAGTTATAATAAAAAAAAAAAAATCCAAGTTCAAACATAAGAACCAAACCTGAGTTTTGGCACTTATCCAAGAATCTCCCCAGACATATATCCCATGATTTCGCACAAGCACTGCTGTTGCCTTTGGGTATGCTGAAATCTGTGAAAGCGCAATCAAAGTGAGCAACTGCCACAAAAACAACATTCTTACACTGCCAAAGCTGATTGACCATTGTTTTTGGATTCATTTGATGAATTTTACAATCGTTTATACAGTGAGACCACAACCTAACCCGAGATTGGAAATGGTGGTTTTTTATTTTTCATGCAACACCAATGCCAAAGATTTATCACATTAAAACCTAAACTAGTAAGGAAGGTGACGTGTAAATTGAATCAACCAATTATCAAGATTACAATGCCAAGAGATGAGCCCAGTGCACTTTAAAACCCTACTGAACTAGAAGAAAATTTGATGCCCCAATAACCATGCTCATAATTTTTCACCGCTGACAGACTGAACCTAAACAATAGAACTCTATGTAATGTACATGCCATATTACAGATTATGTAAAACAATAATAGTTTGGTCGACAAAGTGACTATTATTAAATGAATACCACCACCAACAACAACAAATCTTTATCCCACAATGTAAGGTCGGCTACATGAATCTTTTTTTCTTCATTATGTCTCATTAAGAGTCAAATTCTCATTTAAATATAATAAAACAAGATCATTTTTAATACTTTCTAACCAAGTCTTTTTAAGTCTATCTCTACCTTTCTTAACATTGTGATGGGGACATCAGAGCATGGAAAGTTTATCTGAGGCGTAGTCGACAATCTACGGCCACGATCGCACCGATCTATTTTTTAGTCCTCATATGTACTTGTTTTATTTATTTGCTTTTTGTATTTGTTTTATTTGTATTTCCCTTTTACCCCTTAAGGGTTGGTAAAGCTCAAAGGGCTATGTCGTCTTTTATTTTTCCATCCATTGTATGAGGCTATATATAACCCTTATGTTTTCTCTTGAAGGTTAATGAATGAATTATAAAATTTTTTGCACATTGAGTTCATGTGAGAGCTTGAGAGATTTTGGAAAGAGATCCCTTGGAGAGGGAAGCGGATCACCCACCAGCCTTGGAAGAGTTCGGGATTGTGGCTAGTTTTATCTTTTCTTTTCTACTCTTCCTCCCTTCTTTCCTCCTCCATCTCACGGTTCACCTAGCTCTAACCGCAGACCCTCCAAACCACCCCCTTCCCACCCGTCGGCTTCATCCCACCACCACCACACCACCAGCCACTACCAACCAGCCGTTTCCCCCATAGCCACCGGCCTAACACCACCACACAATCAATCACCCTTATCCCCACCTAGCTGCCAGTCCCTCACTCAAATCCCTAGCCTAACCGCCAGCCCTAGCCCTTCCCCTTGCTTCCAATTCCAAATTTCCCCATTAATAATTTCCATATTTTACCCAATCTCATTTGGAAAGCTTTGGGCACCATTTGTTCATCGAAATTTTGAATTTTAAAACTTTCCAAACATAGGAATCTATTTTAGGAAAGTTTTCAAATTCAACCCCTTTTTGAATTTCAAATTAAATGGGAATTAATTAAGCCCTTCCTAATTTAATAATCCAAATCAAGAAGGCTTGATTTATTTCCCCAAACTGCTCCCTCTCTCTCTATACCCCCCCCCCTCCCTTGGGTCCACACCTCTTGAAATACTTTCCCACTTCAAGTTTCCCCTTAGGGAAGAATTCAAAACACCCCTCCCTCTCTCCTACACACCCCTTCCCTCTCATCCTTTCTCCTTTTAATTCTTTCCAAATTTAAGAATTAATTAGGGGAAACAAATTCCTAAATTTCCCTCCATCCTACCTCCCAAAATCTGAACCTATTTCTTCCCTAAGCTCCCATCTTTGGGTCGGCCACCTCTCTCCCTCTTCTCCACTTGAATCCTTGAGAGAAACTTCTTTCTCTCAAGAGGAGTCCTTACGGAAGCGAAGACCTTCGTCGCCAACACTTCAACCTTACGGAATCGATGAATGGCCGATTCCGATCTTGACTCCGGCTTCGTTTACAACGAGCAAGGAAACATCGACATCCTCCGGTCAACATTCTTCGACGTCAACCCGGAAATAGACAATTCCGTCGAAGAATACGTGGATCGTATCATCTTCACCTTGTCCGAAGCAATCGAAGAGCGGCTTGCCAACGTTCAATGGCAAATCACTTCCGTTCCACGACGAGGGTGAACTTTTTCCCCTATTCAAAATATCTTCTAATCCTCTGCTCTTGTAGGTTGTGATTCAAGCACGAGCAGTCGTGCCAAGCTCTCTTCCTTCGCTTAGTAAACGTATGATTTGAGTCTTGATTTTCAATGTTTTCTAATCTCATTGTTAACCTAGGGATTCTATAAAGCATCTACTTAATTTGCATCTGTTGAAAATTTTAATTACTTTGGTGATTCTCGCTCTAAGCATGTGATTCGACCTAAGTGAAGCCTCCCCTCTTTTGTTTTCTATTATTGTTTAGTGACTAACGTTTGTATATATTAATTGTTCTTATTCAAAAACATGCAAGTTCTTATCGCATTCATTTAAATCATACTTAGTTCTTCATCACATAGGTCAAATCTAATACATCTACTCTCCTAACATGGCCATCGAAAGGCCGACATTTACAGCGTCCAAACCATCTAAAACAACTCTCCTAAGCTTATCTTCCCCTGAAGCTACTCCAACCTTTTCACGTATGTATTCATTTTGCATTATATCTCTAAGTGTAAAACCACTCATACATCTGAGCATTTTGATCTCTGCAACACTTGAATTAATTTTATGCTTCTCTTTTTAATGGCCAACATTCTCCGCCATAAAGATCTAAGATGGTATGGGGTGAAGTAACAGTTTCCAGGGGAATAGGATCCAAGCAAGCATAGAAACTGAAGGTATAATTCTTCAGCAGGTTAAGCAATAACATAAAAAAACACTGCTCATTGACATCAAACCCCATGTAAACTCCCATAAAATCACCGCTGACAATTGGGATTAGGTAAGACACAAAAAACAGTTGGTATTTTCAATTGGCATCTACAACAACAACAACAAGCCTTTATCCCAATACGTGGGGTCGGCGATTGACACCTACGAAAACAAATAAAAACTAGCCAATGCAAAAATTCTGAGCTGGTTTATTTTTTAAACTTGTCAATTTTATCAGAAGATGAAGAAAAACAGGTGAAAAGTATGAAATGTACAGCTTCCGTGAGTGAATTTGTGAGTTCACGCTCATGAGCAGTGTTCTCAATTATTGGAATCACAAGCTCGTCATAATAACCATGTCCTTGAATTCCTTTTATCATCTCCATGTGAGTGATCTGCATCAAAAAAATAGCCAACACAGTTGAAGATAAGTGGATAAAAAGAAAAGTGCAGGATCACACAACTACATTAACAAAAATAGTATAAATCTTTTGTAAGCACCTCCAAGGTCATTTTACTTCTTCCAATACCCATTTTTTAGAGAATGGTGTGCTTAAAGGGACTGAATTTAAATATTAGACCATTTACTATGTGACAACCGGTTCATCCGGCCGGTTCACCCGAACCGGCCGGCCCGCCTTTATTTATCCCGCGGGAAATGTACTACCGTCCGACTTTTCGTACCCGCCTCGTTAGATCGAGCATCCGGGACGGGTCGTGACATACTATCTCATGAAACCCTATAAATGTTCATTACAAAAGAAATATATCATCTAGTCTTATAGGATGTTTACTCACATGATAGCGTGCAGGCGTAATATTAATCACTGGGGTGCTTATGCATATGTATTTATCTTACAGGGCGTTCAAGCCAGGGAGGAAACTCCAAGTTCCTCATAGTATACTATGCAAGCATGAGCCAGGAATACCCATATTCTCCTCATGGAGGTATAACCATGTTAGCGAATCAATTTCATGCTACGATCCATCACCAAAATCAACCGGACTCCATCATTTCTAGGTAAGCTACGCCTGGTTTACCCCAGTTTATGATACCTTATATGAGCTAGATCTGCCGAGAAATTTGGGTTGGATGATCTTCCTTACACCACCTAGGAGCACTATTATCAATATCTTAGTAGTTTGGTGGGCCGTCCATCCATTGTTTCACAACATCTCCAACTTGTTAAGTAGCTGGCCAAGCATCATAGATTTCATAAAAAGAGAACTAAAAATAAAGGTTGACCTACTTTTTAGTCTAGCATGGCAAAAGTAATCCCATCATCAAAATAGGAACATTGGATTCGAAGTTAAGATCCCATTAGGTTAATTCTTCAATCCAATCATAACATTTTTTTTTAATTATGTGAAAGTTTTTTTGTTTGCACCTTTTAGGCTTGTCAAAGTAATAAAAGCATTGGCACACCAACTCGATCATCAAGCATATTGAGTGGGGTGATGAGGAAGACTATCAAGTATCAACAGCTCTGAAAGCCCGAGCAACTCTATCCCATTCGGCCCTAGACGGTGAATTGGTCATTCTCTGAGCAATTCAATATGATGTAAACTCAAGCCACATAATAAAATCTCTGAACCCAAACTTCTTTCTCTTCTCTCTCTACCCCTTGGGCTTGATCTGCAACTATAATAGAATCTTGATACCTTATATGTGCAACATTAGATCCAACACATATTGGGAACAATGAAGTTATATGCAAGCATCAATCAACCTAATGCATGCCATTATTTGCAAATGCAAGTTTCAATTTTCTATATGCACTAACAATCATCAAAATGCATCGAAAGTATTATCATGGTAGAATTCATATAATATATGATTCCTTTAATTAGTTTAAAACCTCACTCGAAATTCCTTTGATAAGGGATTGATCATTGTTACAAGGCATGACTCCATCCCATGGCTATGAATGACGGCCCCTGCATTGCGCATTTGATAAGCCTACAAAAGCCAAAGACATACAAGTAAACTATCATAAAACATAGAGCACTAGCATTTAAAGGATAAGCATTTCAGCCAGCATGCGTGATAACTATTCAATGAAAAGTTTCAACATCTTGTGTGAGAGATAAGGTTCCAACTTCATATAAAAAAGGATAATAATAGGCAAGAGAATGAAGAGAGTTTAGATCGGGTATCCTAACCCAATTTTGACCATAATGAGCTTTATAGCAATCAGATTTACTTTAAGATAAATACAATACCTAATAAATCAAGATTTATATTTAATTAATTTCAAAGTAAATGTGATGACTATAAAGCCCATCCTCACTAAATTTGATCAATATATGCTGACCTAATTTTGTTTCAAATTCCAATAAATAAAACTTAATTGTTGCTGCTCATGACCAACGTTACTGAACAGTTAACATTAATAGCTAAATTGAAAGAATTCTCATTAAATTACTAAAAAAAGCAGTAGTCAATCAGGAGATTCACTCTCCTTCTTTCATACATGTATCAGATCCTAAACCTGCTCCAAAACAGAAGTCATCATATTGGTTCAAAGTTCAAATTTCTATATCATCAATTGGCAACATAACTAATTGCCCTTGAGACTGGGGAAAAAAAATCATGCACCTCCAGATAACTAAATCAGACATTCTCAACATTTTGAAACTTGAACAAATTTAAACAGAAAAGCCCCATCTGGGTAGTTAGACACGTCTTCATTGTTTATATCAAGATTCTTACATGAATATCTCCAACATTTTGCCAACAAGTCAAACCTTCGATAGAACAAAAGGACCAGTTCTTTGGGGGTAAATAGGTTACTTGGGATTAAACTATCCCTGGTTAATTTAATAGCGGGCTAACTCTTCCCTCTCCTGGATTAACGCTAGCCTGGAGCATGAAATCTCAACGGATGATACTTTAGCTTGAGCCATCTCATTAATACACCAAAAGTAATTTAGCTTTAATTTCATGCCACCCAAAAGCAAAACTGAAAAATAGATAAAACCGATTCTGAAGCGATATGAATTGATCGTTTCGAACAAATTACCAGAAAATTTAGGTTCGAACGAATATAAAAATGCAAGAAACAAAACCAATATCAACCGTCCATTCGATCAAGTACTCGAAAAAATTAAACTAGAAAATCGAAAGAAACGAAAAATATGCAAACGCGTGAGGTAATAACCCACCTTCATGAAAAGTGGGGCGCAATCAGAGCATTTAGGAGATTTATTGGGGTAGGGCTTAGTGGAAGGCGCCGAGAGAACGTCACCCTCGCTAGAAAGCACGTACATATCATCCGCTGCCATCCTCTCCTTCTGCACACCTGAAGACATTCCCGTTCGCTTCGGCGATCTCTTGAGAAGGAGAGCGAAAGATGGGGAGACATGATGCGAGTACCTGAAGGGGACATAACGATTAGCTGGTGGGGCTTTGGAATGGCGTCGTCGTGGACTTTGATGGTGATGCTACCGCCGGTACCGGAAACCCAGCCGAGGGTGTAGAACTGTCGACACAGATCGGCGACCAGTGCCCTTGTTTCCCGCGCCGCTTTGCCATCGAGATAAGCTTGCGATGAGAGCACAGGGAAGGCTTCCGCCGCAGCCATGGTCGACAATCGCTTCGGCAGTGACAATCTATAAAACGGGGCAGAGACCTTTTTACTCAGAACACAATTCTCAAGAGAGAGGTGGTGAAAGTGAAGGCTTTGTTCTCAGAACACGATTCTCAAAAATTACGAGTATGAGCAGCAGTGAGTGTATACGAGATGAGCGTATCTTTATTTATTATTATTGGGTTCGAATTTAAGAAGTTTTTCTTAGCTGAAATTTTAGGAAGGATGATGTCACTAATATAAATTAGGAAAAGAAATATGAAATAAATAAAATTTATATAGGAGTAAATTTATAGAAATTATTGGCGCATTTATTAGAAGATATCAAATATTTTGGTGCTTTTTATTGAATGCCTGTAATATTTTTGTAAATTCTAGGTAGCCCCTAAAATAATTTTTAAGAGATTACATAAAAAAATATTAGTAATAAAAATAATGAAATTAAGAAAATATTTTGTAAGTAATTAAAAGAAGTTAATTTAATGAATTAAGAAAGTAGAATATAAGTAAACTTTAATTAAAATAAAGGAAGTTTGAGTTTAGAATATAAGTGTAGATTGTAATTATTAAGTAATGTTAATTTAATGAATGCAACAGAGTATAATATAATTTATTGTTATTAATAAATAAATTAAGAAAGTAGATTATAATTACTTAGTATTAAAAATAAACGACTTAAGAGTGTATATTGTAAGTAAAATAAATAATTATAATAAGGAGTAGCTTATTATAAGATAATAATAAAAATAAATAATTAAAAGAGTATATTATAAATGTTTAGTAATTAAAATGAATGTATTTGATGATCATACGTTATTTAGTTATAAATTACTTATAAAAATAAATTACTTAAGAATTTAGATTGTAAGTAACATAAATTAATGCTTTGAGTGAGTATATTATTATTAAATAGTTATAAAGATAAAATAACTAAAGAATATATTATAATTTTTTAGAAATTAAAATAAATGTGTTTGATGATCATATGTTATTTAGTTATAAATTACTTATAAAAATAAATGACTGACTTAAGAGTTTAGATTGTAAGTAAAATAAATAAATGTATTAAATAAGATATGATCATCAAATACATTTATTAAAATTACTAAAAACTTATAATTTATTCTCTTAATTAATTTATTTTCTGATAATAGTCTACTCATTTAATGCATTGATTTATTTTACTTACAATCTATACTCTTAAGTCATTTATTTTTAATACTAACTAACTATAATATACTCTCTTAATTCTTTTTTTAATAACAATAAATTATATTATACTCGTTGAATTCATTAAATTAACATTAATTGATAATTACAATCTACTCTCTCAATTTATTTCTCTTTATTGCTAAATGTTTTTAGTCTAAACTTAGACTTCATTTATTTTTATTAACAATTACTTATATTCTACTCTCTTAATTCATTAAATTAAACCACTTATAATTACTTGCAACATACTTTCTTAATTCCATTATTTGAGAAATAATTAAAAATATTTATTTTATACTCTATTTTATTATTATGAGATTAGTTTTAAATATATTTTAATTTAAATGAGTTGCTCGACAAGCTTTTCGAGATGAGACAAATTGAGCACGGGCTTGAAATTGTATAATATACTCAAGCTTGAACTCACAAATTAACAAATTTGACTCGTGAACTCATTAATGAGTAAAGTTTGAGCCGACTTACGAGCGAACTCGACTCAATTGTAACACTAATGCACCAAATTCATAGATTTGAGACACTCTGCTCTCTGTAAATCAGCATTGGGGCGCTCAGAAACACAACGCAAGGGCATTGTAAGGAAAAAGAAAATTTTCACCCGAACCCAAGTAGGGTGCAAACCCTCACACCCCCAGCAAGCACGACAAACTCGAGATTCGAGGCAACAGAACAACCCAATTGATCTACACTATAATTAGATTCCACCACATAACACTAAGAGGCTACTTTCTATTGCAACATTAAAAAAAGTTACTTTCTCCATAAGAACTTTACAACTACACTTATAAAAACCTACGGTTGTCACAAACAGATCCAAAAATTAGTATTGAGTGAGTTAAAGTGCGCTTGAGCCCATATCTCATAATCAATTAAGAGGATGACCTCCAAAACAAGGAGTCGTGGCCTCTACTCGTCATTCAATCATACTCTCTTATGTTTCAAAAAACAAAAAGTAAATCTTACCTTCTCATAAACCTTAATGCTTAATATTTTAAACAAGATAATTTTCACAATATAATAATTAAGAGAATATATCTTGATTCATGATTATCTCATGCAAAAAATTTAATCAAACATGAGATTCTTAGAAACTTGTTTCCTCTCTTTTTTTTAAGCTTTTAGGTTATTCAAAATAACTGTTAAATGATGAGAAACTCTCAAGATAATAGGTATATGTATATACATACACACTCACATATGCCTTTATAGGTATTTAATAGGTACTCTATCGGTCATCATAAAAAAGATTGCATAATGTGTTTCCACATAAGAACTCACACAAAGGTCTTGAAATCCAATGCTGCTAGCCCCTACCTCAGCATGGAAAAAGCCATTGTTCTTACTCGTCATCTAACCTGCCAACCTACTCACGGGAAAAGCACCTATCCAGGGGCTTATTATTCCGTGCGATACTGGACAGAAAAATCGTCATGTTAAACGCTCGGTACAAAGCGGTACCGAGTACGGATACCAAGCTCGATATGTTTTAGAGTGACGTGACACATTTTTATTAATCTCCAAACATCCTTTGGATTCCGTGCAGAATAATAAATTCTATTCAAGAGGCCCTCGGCTTGCCCTTCTTATGGAGCTTGATTAACAAAGCTCCATATTACATAATTAGCATTAAAGTATTACATAAGCTCTAAGAAAATAACACCCACACATTCAAGTTTCATTTGAGACTACTTTTTTATTAATTTTTAAAATAAATTTCTAGTACAAAAATTTTTATACTAAAATATTATTTAAGAAGCAATACAAAAATCATCCCAAATGAAACTTAAAACCTTTTTGCTGCATCATGAAAGACTAAGGTTTCATCCCAGATTTCTTACTGCTCTTTAAAGCAAAATTGCTTTAAAAAGTAGTAAGAAAGCCGTCCCAAACGAAACCTTACTGCTTCTTAAAGCAGCTTTTAGTACAAAAATTATTTGTTTATACTAGAAAGCTACTACAATAAGCAGTAAGAAAGCCGACCCAAACGAAGCCTTTGGGAAGCTTAAGACCTAGTTTGGGAAGACTTTCTTACTGTTTTTTAAAATAACTTTCTAGTACAAAAAATTTAATTTTTGTACTAAAAATTATCTTAAGAAGCAGCAAGCCGCACCCCTAAGAAGTAATAGTTTTTTGACAAGAAAAAAAAACACCAATAAATGACTGCCCCTCATTTAACAGTTCATTTCTCTTTTCAGTTCTAGTAAAGCTTAAATTTTACCTTAAAGCTTAGCGAGCAATTAATACATACATAACATGTACAAAGATAAGAATATGCTCTATTTACAATTAGTCACATACCCTTTTCAGATTTTTCAGCCTGCTAAGCGTCGCAGTTCAAAAACAGAAAGAGTAGAAGAATACAATAACAATAGTACCATAAAGTTCTGCAATCAGCTAAGCATGCTGGGATGTGAAGTCTGTAGCATTCTCTTCAAAACATCGGTGTGCCATCCAAATGATGAATCTGATGAACTGCAGAGCAATCCAAGTAAATGGTGTCACCTGAAGTTAAAAAAAAATGGAGCAATAACAATATAAATTGGTTTGGACCTGAAGTATTAAAGTGCATAGTATTTACAAGCTTTTTTTTTTATTTATTTATCCAAGCCAAGAAAATGATTATTGCAGACTTGATAAAATATAGTATTCAAGAGGTTTATTACATAGATATTAATTCAAAAATAGAAAATATAAGGCTTCGCTCATTCTTATTTTTTCTGAAGCAACTTTCTGATACAAAATTATTTTTTTACTAAAAAACTGCTTCATAAAGTAGTAAAAAAGCAGTCACAAATGAAGCCTAAATTTACTAAATTGAAATAACATATTAAAGATATTTCAGTGAAAAAAAAACCTTCCCCAAATATAAAAAATTGAGATGCAGAGAAGTAGAAAACATGTTAAGTAAAAGATGTATAATATAATGATGAAATCGGTTTTTTTTTAGTTTTTTTTAATAATTTTTTAATTAAGATTGCAGGGGAAGAAAGCACAAACCTTGGGATTGATATTTCGTATGGGAAGGATATAACCTCGTTATTTGGTATTGGAGGGATGTGGTCCTTCTTATCATTAACAAATTTTATGATATGGAACAAAACTTCGCGCAAGGAATCCTCAAGTGCAGCACGACGCGAACTGCTCTCTTTCAGCACATCCTCTGAGATCACGCATTCAAATGTCATCAAAGCTAATATTAAACGGAGATAATTAAACTGCAAAAACATGGTGAAAATATTCTGGTAAAAAAATTGATCATGATAGATTTTAAAATCATTAGATTTTTAGAATGTGTAATTATAAAAATTAATTGGTTAATTATATATTAGACTCATCTTAAAATAAATTCAATAATTTTAAAACTCATCCTAACTCCATTTTTCTCCTAATTAGACCTGCAGTAGCCATTTACGAGCCATTACTTCCACTTATAATGGTTGGGGCTCATTAACTCAGGCTTCGTTTGGGGCGACTTTCTTACTGGTTCTAAAGCAATTTTTTAGTATAAAAATTAAAATTTTTGTACTAGAAAGTTGCTTTAAGAAGCATTAAGAAAGTTATCCCAAATGAAACCTCAATCTTAGTGATTTACAATGAAATTAATGGCACTACAAAATTACCATCATAATTGAAGAGAATCTAACAATACTCTTAAACACCAGCAAACAAGAGCTTTAGTGTTTGCAACAAGTTCCTACAGGTCAGTAAAGAGAAGAAAAGAAGAGAAGAATACCTTCAGAATTTACAGGCACTTTGCTGTGATGAGATTTGCCATGTGTTTTAGGAGTTACTACATGCAAATTAATGTGCCATTGTTCCCAATATAGGCGCTCAATTCTGTTACTAAACCATGTTGGCTGCTTGTTTTTGACTTCATAAAAAGATAAGGATACCTGCGCCATTAAGTCACAGTTAGAATTCACTTCGCAGAACAAATGCTTCCATGGTAAAGCGATCCATGAAAACCTTACTAATATTTACGGAAATTCAAATCTAGCAGCTTATCGTGTTGGCTTGTATAGGGAAACAAAAAAAAAGATGTGCAAAAGCTAAATAAATAACTATTTGAGATTATTAGAGCATTTTCTGAGGCAAATATCTATAAATCATCAACTTAACCTGGCATTTCCTGTTAGGATGTTTCTCTACCCAAATCATAAACTGGTCAATCTTTTCTTCTATTTTCTTGTCTAAGTCTGCATCCCCACAATGGACCTATTTAAAAAAACACAAAGGAGAGATTAAGTTTTCCAAAACAAAATCTCTAATAAAGGTAGGCAACAAGTCCTGCAGGTAAATAGAAGTCTTAGAACAATAAGAACAAGTCCAGCAGGCAAATAGAAGTATTGAAGAACTATAATATTTCAAATGCCAACAGCAGCATAATAGGTTCCATGGTCAATACATCCCACATTTGCTTGAATTAGGGCGTTAAATAACATGTGAAATTAACTTTTTAAACATTTCCCCTCGATTACTTTTTTGAAAGACAGCTCGTGCTTAATTGTAGACACAACAAAGCAAACTTTCCTCAGTGAGCACAACTATTTCATAACAACTTACTTTAATTTTAACAAAAACTAGGCACATAGAACAATTCACTTTTTCTTGATTAAGAAATCCAGAAAACTTGAAACTAAAGTTTAAGAAATTGATATATCAAATTGTTGTGCTTCTTCATTGAAAAGTGTTGGCTGCAATCAAATGGAGATAAATGGAACCCATTGCTGATCATGAAGAAGCAAATGTGGATTTGATATTGGATCTGATTATCAAGCAAATGAGGACCACGTGCAAAAATATGTAGAAGGAAGGTCACAATCGCCACATTAAGTGCAGGAAACTGCAGGGATATCACTACCAGCTGAGGTGAGAAAGACTTGTCATACTATCTCATAAGTGGTGGCAGCCTGGCAGGCACACGGATGCAGAGCATGGGGGCTAGCAATGTGTAGAATGGGATGGGATAGGCGAATTTGTTTAGTGCTACAGGCGGATATCTAAAGGATGAAATAGCAATGTGTAGAATGGGGTAGGATAGGCGAATTTTTTTAGTGCATATAGGCGAATATCTAAAGGATGAGATGTAAGGATTTAATGGAGACGTAAAAATAATTTCATTGTCTCTGAAAGACATGCCAAATCATTGAGAAGAATCATCGGAAGCATACCTGAATACATTGAAATGCAGAATCAAGATTTTCGGTCTTCCACATTTGAAGCGGTGTACTCCAAGAGAGCGAGAGACCCCTTCTTTTCACTCAAGATGAGAAATGAATAAAATGAGAACTTAACCGCTTAAACTGGGGACCATGACCCTTTAATACTTTAAATGTATTTATTTTATTTCAGCCCCTCATTAAAATAAAATAAATACTTGGCCTCTACACAATAATTAATTCCATACAAATTTAATTTAAATATCACATAATCTAAATAATAATTTAATACTTAAATAGATCATGAATTTAATTGACTCAATTTTAGAAAACTTCTAATGTATAATACTTTATTTATATGTATAGATATATGAGCCCAAATATATAAATTTCCCAACATGAAATATCAGCAACAGAGAAATGATAATGCTGGAAAAGCAAACATGATAGCTCGAGCATGTAGGGAAAAGAGCGAAGGGACGGCGGTTGTGTGTAGAGTTTGTGATTGAGAAAGAGATATTTGATGGAGGCAATGGATTTGAATCAATAGGATACATAATGAAGAGCAAGGATGTTTGGATTCCAATATCAAATGATACAAATGAGTAGAGAAGGAGAATTGGGTGTTAAGAAAGAGAACCAAGATGGGAAGATAGACACAAAAGATGAAGAGTAATTTTCAATTCATGGTGAACTTATTCAATTGCAAGTTATGAATACCCTATTTATACAATAGAGTTTACAAAAAAAGATAAAATAAAATTAAGTTCAAATCTAATCTCACCTAATCCTAAAAAATTTAAGGTTCAAACCAAATAACATTCAAAAGGATAATTAAACCTAATTTCAATTAAAATAAGCAAAACAAATTCTAACTTACATGAAATAATAGAAATTAATTATAAACTTAATTTATTGTTATGCATCATGCTTACAAATAAGAAAAAAAGCAATGGATGAAAAAGAACTGCATGCATTAACTACATCTAAAAAATAGCATGCATTAACTACTTCTAAAAAAATAGCATGCATTTGAGAACATGCTAATCAGGTTTGAAGTCCATTTATTGCAGAAACATATACTTGACATATAAGACACAATGAAAGAGTTTACTTTCCAGGCTAATGATATCCATAAGCGTCTAGCCACAAGTTCTCCATCAAAACTTAAATGTATGCATACACTTAAATATGATCACAACCTTATCCTTTAAATTTAAAACTTCTTTCATAATAGTTATGCCGGAAGAATAAAAACCCCTACAAAATTTACCTAAAAAGCATTAGAGTTACTTACATATGTTATCTCAAAAAGTTCACAATCAACATCTTTTGGCCGAACGAGCCCGAGAGCTCTGTGAAAAACAATTGTGTGGAGTACACCTGCAACTCAATAGACAATTATCTTTTAAGGAAGTTAATGAATGCTAAATAGCTTTGCATAATCAATAACAGCTTTAAGCCAATAAAGAAATATTAGTTTTCTCTAATTAATGATTCAATGTGTCTTCACCATGTACTTCCAGAAAAAAGAACGCTATCATTGTATGCAGAGAACCTTGAAGTTGAAAGAAAAGTTGAAGAGCAACGTGGATCATTGGTGAATATGGATGAGTCAAAGCACGCATGCACGCATGCAAAATCCATGGCAATCTCATCCTTCAACATTCCTCAAACAAGTAAAACACTCCTTTCCCTAGTCTAAAGTCAGTGGGGACAACACAATCAGAATTAAAAGAGAGGCAAAACACTTGGGAATCTTACCAGACCAAATAAGCAAATACATACATTAAAAATTTTGGTAAACCAATTGGGAGAAAGGTATAGTGAAATTACCCAATCACTTATGAGGCTTCAAAAATGAATCAATGAAAATGTCATTTGGGCATAGTTCTATTTATCCAATAATTTTTTGGCATATTTAGTTCATCAGCATCTGCAATGTTATGTCATGTTATTCAAAGATGTCAACTATTTGATTTGTGGAAGCTTTAAATCATCATAATCATCATCATTATTATTTGTATCCCAACTATTTAGGGGGCAATTATGAATCCTCATTTTTCATCCGTTTATATTGAGTATAAGTTAAGGTGTTAAACTTGTCCTCCACATATCATTTTGAACAAGTTCTACACCTTTTTTCAATTGTTCTATTTGAACGACATCACAGACATTTAATGCAAAGAAATCTTTAAGTACATAATGCCTACCCCACTCCTTTGATCGGTACCATATATTTCTTCTCATTTTGCCACCTCCAAACAATGATGTCCGTGGTTGCAAATAAAGCATCATCTCCTCATCGATGAGAAAATCAATATGTTATTTTCCTCTCTAATTTCTTAATGATTGTTGGAAATTGCCATTATTAGCCCCTTCATGGTTGCATGTGCTTTTTTTTGTCTGCATAGTCTGCTCTTTGTCCCTTTTCCCATCAGTGCATATGTTTTGTATCTCTTTCCCAATTTAATGCTCCTCTCCCTCAATAGATTATCAAATTTAATGAAAAACGATCTCAAATTATTAATTATAATTATTGTCAATTGGTATATGTTTTGTATCTCTTTGCCATTCAAAGAGAAGCATAATATTAAGTTAAGTGTTGCAGAGATGAGGATGCTCAGGTGTATGAGTGACTTTAATCTTAAAGACAGGATACGAAATGAGCATATATGTGAAAAGGTTGGAGTAGCTCCAGTGGAAGATAAGATTAGAGAGAGTCGCCTTAGATGATTTGGTCATATAAAATGGTGGCCTTCCGATGACTCGGTTAGATAAGTAGATGTATTATATTTAACTAATTATGTTAAGAAAGGTAGAGGTAGACCTAAAAAAACTTGGTTAGAAAATATTAGAAATGACATTTCTTTATTAGATTTAGATGAGAATTTGACCCTTAATAGGACACAATGGAAAAAAATGATTCATGTAGCCGACCCCACATTTTAGTGGGATAAAGACTTGTTGTTGTTGTTGGTATAAAATTCATGTTCCATAATCAAATAATATATAGCTATGCTCAAATACACAAGAAACTGTTTCATGGCATCACAACGTTCCATCTTGAACAAATTATTTTATCAAACAGTCAAATCAATCTCACCTAGAAGCAATAAAATTCATACCAATAATTAATGAACACAGAAATAAACTAACATATCATAAACAACACAAAGTTGTCTTCTGCATACAATAATTCAGAAACAATGCTTGCTATAATAGAAAACCTCAAAGCATTGCTTTTTTTCCATCACAATCCACTTTTATAATTTCCTTATTCATTTAAATTAATACATAATAAAAGTAATTAAGGTTTTCCATTCTATTGTCATTTATTTCATTCCTTTATTTTGAAAATCATCTTCTTCAAAATTTCTACAAAAGAAACAGGAGAGCATGCCTCCTAGCTTTTTAGATCAGCTTTAATTAGCAATGTGTGATGTTGTAATTTGATTCTGGAGCATTGTTGCAGTTTAACTTTATTAAACCTTTTCCTTACCACCTAAATAGCAATTAAGTTCCTTCAAGAAGAAAAAGTTTAGTATGATTTAATACAATGTGCAAACAATAAATCTAAACAACAGGATAAATCTGCTGAACAAATTAGGATCACAAACTTACACCTCAAGATCAAATAGGGAGTTTGAAAATCTTATAAAATAATACCAAAAAAACCAAATGAATATAAATGAGCATGATTAATAATCTTTTTGGCACCTTCCTTTGCAATGCAAGGGCATGTGAAATAAAAAATATAATCTTGACAAAATAAGAATAAATAAATACAGTTGAAATCTAAGAAATAATCTTCCAAAGGTCAACTAAAACTCTTATCATTGGACCAAATAGTTACAACAGGATACCACTAAGATTGAATTAAACATATTGTATTTGACATATATTGCTAGCATCAAACAACATGGGCATCTCAACAACACTTGCATCTAAAAAATATTGAATCAAATAACCCTAATAGATCAGATTTGATATGTCGTAATCTCACTTTTATTTTCTCACCCATAATATCTCAAAATAAGAATTTCAGTAAATCTACATGCTCATTAACAGTCCATCAAACAGGCCCTTGGCATGCTTCAATGCAATGCAGCCTGAATAAGAGATATAGACTGATGGTATTCTGGTTTCCAAACGGAAAATTTCCAAACAAGTGCAAGTCCAACATCAGGATTGTTTTAACTCCAACAGATCAAGTATATCAAGAGTCATAGAATTCAGACCCGATTGTCTTAAGAGCTTTAAAACCTTAAAAAACTATATTCAACAAATATAATCAAACCAAAGCAGCCATAAAATACAGATTCAGCGTAGAAAAGGAAAAAAAAAATCTTACAGCGCAACACTTCGCGAATCTCAAGCGGCTCGAGTACCTAGATGCGCAACAAATCAGTTATATTTGGACAGAAAATTAAAAAAAAAAAACAAACAAATAACGAACTAACGGGAAAGAACGGTGGTGAAAAATTTTCAATACAAACCCCGAAGGCCAGAATAAAAACAGAAAATCAGTTAGGAAACCAAGTACTAAGATTCAAAACTTACTAGCTCTTTCAGCTGGCAGACTTCGCAGTTCATGGTTCTGATGACTTGACCTAGGTTAACGATCAGAATAGATGGCAGAAATAAATATGGACGCGAGACCGACGAGGTAAATCAGGGTTTTGGGCGCGGCGCAGGCGGAGCTAAAAGTAGCTCGGAGTGAAGAGGAGGAGACCTCTTTCGACCTTCGCTATCGTGGAGCACTCGCCTGGTTTAGATGTCCTCTTGCGTGACGGTATTGTGCTGAAAAGCAAAAAAAGCCTGTCCGGCCCGTTAAAAAACGATATCAGTAAAACCAAGCCCATTAAGGGCCTTGCATAATTAGCTCTGTAAAATTTATTTGTAGAGAGAGACAAAGAGAGGAAAGAGTTTTTTGTATTGGCATTAAAATAAAAATTGAATACATATACATATAATTTGAGAGAAGTACTTAAAAAAGTATAATGTTTTTATATAAAAATTCAAGTAAAATAATATGGGGCTTAATCTAACTAAAATATATTTACTAATATAAATCAATTGATAATCACAAAGGGACACAACTCTCCTTGGCCTATTGGTTGAAAGCTTAGGCTTCCAACTAAGAGGTTCAAGATTCGAGTCCTTGTGTATGCGTTGTGTGTGTGAGTTTGCCTTAAATGGCCTAAATGTCCCAAAAAAAATAATCACAAAGGGTGACATCCCATGTACTAGATAGATAAAGTTTTGATTTAATACACGACGTTTGGGCTATGGAGATATCTTCTTTGATGCTAGTAGGAGTCGTGGTGTATGTACGTAAGTTATTATTAGGTGATGGTGAATAATTATTCTGATATTTTTCTTAATAGTAGAAAAATCAAGTGACTAGCAGGATCTGCATAAAACATTAGTTCCTAGTTTATAAGGAATATTAGTTGTCATTTAACATTGAGCGAACGACTTTTCCGCTCTCTTTATAGGAGAGAAAGTTGGGGACTTGAATGATGGGTGTTAAAAATGTGGGCTTTGAAAGAGTGTGTAGAAGATGTTAGATTGTATCATCTACGAGAATGAAAAAGATCATATATATTCTCTTCTACGTGAAAATCAACTGAAGCCGAATTGAGTCACACACACATATATAGTTGGCTACTTGGCTTGGCTTTGTAGTACTTCATAGATAAGGAACTATATTATATTAAAAAAAAAAAAGATAATTCATGAAACAAACTTAAAATATAAAGATTCATATAACTACAAATACTATAGATTTTCCCCACCTGACAAACAAAGTCGTATATGATCTATTTTAGTTTAGAGATATGTTTTTCATGAGCGCAAGCCCACATGATTAATTAAACCCTGAGTGTGATTCTCAAGAGAATGTCTCGATTAAGAATACTCATTCGTAGTCTTTGATTCAATATAATGGATCTTGATGTTTATCCTAACTAATAGACTTTCTGACTGACGAGCCTAGCTCCATAAAACCACTACTCGACTCATTTACCCCTGTGGTTATATCTTATTAGAAATATTAGTACAACATAGCTTATGTGTGCACAAAAAATTGGTGCGGATTAAATTCAATTCAGTTATGGTCCTAAATGTTGTGCATACAACCTTCAATTTTGGAGGATATAACATAAAATAATAAATTTGGCATGTGTGGGACATGCAATGCTAATGTATACAATATGCAATAATTAGTGTGTGAGTTAAAAATAATATATGTGACATACAAAAATTTGAGTGCATGACAAGTAACAACTAATGTGTGATATGTACATGCAATAATTCATGTATGCAACAGCTATTGAATATATGATAACTAGACTAAGGCTTTATTTAGGATAGTTTTCTCACTACTTTTTAAAAATAAATTTTTAATATAAAATGTCATGTTCAAAAAGAATTTGAATTAAAAAGTTGTTATATAAAACAATAAAAAACTATTAGAAGAATAATTTTAGTGATAAAGTTATCTTTTTAGATAAAGTGAGAAGTGATAAAATGTTGGAGAGAAGTAGGACAAAATGGAGTAAAAATGGAAGTGGTTGTTAATAAATGATGGGGAAGAATCAATACAGGAAAATGGTTGATTTCATGTGGTCTTTCTCATCAGAAATCGGCCAATTTCCATCGAAATAATACATTTTTTATGGATATCCGATGAAAAATTTTCTGCCAACAAAACACGCGCCAGAAATAATTACCTGTGAAAAAATCTAAGAAAATTTCAGGCAGAATTTGTCCCCGAAAAAATTTTAAAAATTTCCATCACAACTCAATTTTCATTTGCTCAAATTCTGCTAGCCGAAATCAACCATAAATCCATCGGAAAAATCGGTCAAAAAATCATCGAAAATTTTTCATTGAAAATCAACCTGAAATCCATCGGAAATTTGTCTGCTGGAAAATCCGCTGGAATTTCTAGAATAATTTTTGGCCGAAAATTCAGTTGATAATTAGCATTTTTCTTGTAGTGAATGCGATGGTGGTGGAAAATGGAAATGTGGAAAAAAAATTACGAGATAAAGGTGGAGAAGGAAATAGAGAGATAAAGAGATTGAAAAATATATGAAAATGGAGGTGGGGGCATGGAGAAGAAGATGTTGATGAAGAAAATTGTGGATTTGTATGGGAAAAAAGGGAAGAAGAAGAAAAATATAGAGGAGAAAGAAGAACGGAAGAAATAAAACAAGATGCAATTAATAAATGAAAGGATGAGCTAAGGATGGCCAAGTAGGGAAAGGAAAGGGAGGTAAGTTAAAATTATAAAGTAAACAAATAACGAAGAGGCACATTTAAAAAAAAAAAAAATAAAAAGGTGAGATAGGGTTCATTACAGCTCATGCAGTGCAAGCTAAGAGTCAGATGGTGAAGAAAATTGCAACATAATCAAGGGGCTATTAGGTTGTGTGCGAATAGAAACGATGAAGAGATATAACAACCCATCTTTTAACACAATCAAATAATATTTCAGGAGTCATTATAAGTCCAATTTGTAAACCATCCTCACCATGATATAGATATTATTGTTCTTTATTTATAATAATTTTCTCCTAATTTTATGGACAGTGTAGAAATTAACACATGTAGGCATAAGTTGGTTTGTCTGTTCTTAGTTATAATCTTAATTATAGCTTGTAACCGATTAACCAAATTACGCCAATGGGTAGAGGTTGACAACTCCTAAATGATTATTAAAAGTCACCTGTGAAATTAAATGATTAATAGAAATAAATGAAAGATAATATATAATTAACAGACACTGATATATATGACAGGTAAATTGATGATTGCAGTGATAAGTTTTGATTACTTATTAAGCTTTGTAAGCTCATTATGTAATTTTTGTTAATTTCAGGTCCGGAAAGGGATCAGGAACCTCGAGAGTGAGGCTGATCAATGTTTTCAAATTTTCTTTTATTTTTTTGTAGCCGGGAGCTTTCAAAATTGATATATTGATATTATTGAAATCTCCTCATTATGATACATTGCATTTTGAAGGAATGAATATGTAAATATATATATATATATATATATATATATATATGATTTATAATTTAAGATAATTTTGTGTTAAATGGAGTTATGGCTTAAATTTTGAATTTTTATTCAAATTTAACTTGACTTTACATAAATTTTAAGTAAATATATATTTTTAATGTAATTAATATTAATTTACTATTTTACAATAATTTTGATATTTTAAAATAATTATTGAGGTGAATTTATCTTTTTTGGGCCAAAATAATCAATCATAAAGATGAGTGATCAAACTATATTTGATTTTGATTACTTTGAACTAAATTGAACTAAATCAATGATTCATACATAACTATACAATTCATTTGCAAAATAAGGTCCCAATAAAAAAAAATTATGTAAGAACTCAAATATAATAACGCATTTTAAAATCAAATAATTAAGTTTTTGTTTGAATTGGAGCACTTTTACTGTGTGTTGAGGCATTAGCCTTTGAGCGCAATGGCGCCAGAAATTACCTCTATGTCATTGAAGCCTATGTTCTTCAGTAATTCTAGATTGAACACGCGACTCTACGGTGTTATTTAGCTTGCTCATGAAAGAAAGGAAGAAAGAGAGGACAAAGAAAAGGAGAGAGGAAGTTCTTCGGTGTGTTTTAGTCCGTTGCTTCTATTTTAAAAGTATTTTGACAATTTTAAGTGATTATTATCATACTTCTGTCTTCCATTATTTTATTTTCTATGAATCTTATCTCTTCTATATCTATCAAAAATGCATTATCACCTAATTTTGTAAGCTTTCACTATGTAACTTTGTATATATTATAGATTTGATATTCTTAACGATTTGATATAATTTTATTGCATTTTTACCAATCAAATATGCGTATAAAATTTTTATATAAAATGAATAGGAAAACTATATACAAAAAATAAGTTGAAAACTAATGTCTTGTGATTTGATATGAAAATACGAAACTGTGACTTAGGCTAAAATAATTGATGTGATGAAAATATATTATGATGTACATAAGTGATACAAATATAATAGAAATGATATACTAATTGATATCATATATATATACATGATATTAAATCTCACATGATACTCTTAAGATTTATTGATTCACTAATGGGAGTCATAAGAAGCTCATAATTGATTGAAAGTCATAAGAAGTCGAGGCAACTGATTTATATAATTCACTGATTGAAAGTCATAAAGAGTTCACTGATTGAGAGTTATAAGGAACGACTAATTGGAAGTCATAAGGTTAGGAGCAAGATCAATATCATCTCATCTAAATATATAATAGACAGTACTAAAACATGATAAAAATATTAATATAATTGCTTTGCATATACTAACTAATTTAATTAAGTGAATAATAAGATTGACTGATTGAATAAAATTGATTGCATAAGATTGATTAAAAGGTAATTAATGATAGAAATTGGTTGATTGACTGACAAAACGAGAAGTAATGTGTAATAAAACTTATAAATTGCCGCATGTGGCTGGTACGGATAGCATATATTGATGCATTGACTTCTTTACATTTTTTTTCTTTTTTAATTGACTTCTTTACATTATTTACATCATATTATTTCTTTTTTATCTTATACTAATTTTAGTTGTAAGATTTCATTTATTTATTGTACTTCTATATTTATTATTGGGTTTTATATGATTTCCTGTAAATATATGAAACCTTCTGTTTGGGGCTTAATAAAAATGAAGTTTTAGTTTTATTTTTAATTATTTGGTGATATATATTCTTTTGCAGCTTGTCGTGACTATTAGACAGATTGTTTTGCATAATGGCTGACAATGGCCTGTAAAGGCGGAGCAATTATTACATCCGGTCACCAGATGCATCCAGAGACCAATAATAATGCGCCACGTCACCTAAAACTCGGTATTTAGCACTTGGTATTGCTCGATATACGTTCTGATTTTCAATTTTTTGACCGGATGTAATAACTTCTCGTAATGGCGGGAGTACGATGGCTATGGTGGTGTGGTTATCTTGTGAATGCAATGATGGAAATTTTATATTGTATTTAAAAATGGATCAAATCAAACGAATTCTAAATTTATCAAAATTAGATAATAAATTACAAATACTTCTAAATTTTACTCTTTCCTTTTATTTCAGATTATTTTTTTTTTAATTTAAATATTTAAAATATTTTACACCCTTTGAGCTGTATTAATCCGTATACGTACAGTTAAACTCCTAGCCATCGAATTAAAAAATAATTTTAGCTTTATATTCCTATTTTTAAAAAAGCTGGTCGCATTTCAAGCATGAAATTTTCTTTGACGTACGATTTTTTTAAATTAAATCTTGCTTATCGAGACAATTATATGGCCACTCTAAGGAGATGAGTTGATGGAAAAAAAGATTTAAATTAAATTTACTTTGAGAGCTCAATATTCATAAAATTAAACAAAAGAAAAGAATCAAAATGATCATTTAACTCTCCATAAAAGATCGAAATAATCTTCTATTTAAAAAAATATTTTGATCCTGCCTTGACTATTTAAAAAAGATTCTAAAATAATCCCACCTTTTTTCCTTTCCATTCACTCGGATCTCTTCCGTTTCATCTATTTTGTCCAGATCCTCCCTTTCTTCCGAAAAAAGGGAAGGGTTTTCTTCGGTGGATCCCTCTTGTTCCTGTTTAGTCTCCTTCATTTCGGAAGTTGTTTCTACATCGCTTTCTTCCTTTCTTTCTCCCCCTTCTTCCGTTTCTGAGGTTTCTTTCTCTTTCAGTTTCTTAGTGACAATAGGCGACGGCATTCTGCCTAAATAGTAGACACAGGTGATAAATAAGAGAATACTAAAGATTCGAGCCATAGAATTTCTCAATTCTGACACAAGATACATAATTGACTGCATTGATCTCGGTAGCTACACCACCCACGGAATTTAAAGAACCTAAAGGAGCATGAGTCATATATTCTGCCGAACGTCGTTCTTGCCAAGGCTGTATGTCTTTTTTAAGCCTACTCAAGTCCAAACCATTGGGACCCCTTAGAGGTTCTAACCAGGGAGCACGAAGATCCCAAAAACGCATAGTTTCTCCTAAGACTATTTTGATTTTTTTAAAGACTTAAGAAATCAAAATGATCCTTTAATATAATCAATGACCAACTTAATACGTAATAAAACATTAAGGAACTATTTTGATCATTTTAAGAGCAGGGCATCAAAGAGCTTCAAGAATAAGCAAGTGAAAGCTTGCCACATATGCAGGCCTGCCTGGTTTGACTAGCCCTACTTATCCGCCGTTCTAAATTCATAAGCAAATTTTTAGTATAAAATTTAAATTTTTTGTACTAAACAATTACTTTAAAAAACAATAAAAAAATCATCTCAAATGAAACCTTATTATTATTATTATTATTATTTACTTCTCTACATAATTTATTAGGGTATATAAGATTCTTTTAAAAGTCTGCTCTGAATAATAAAACAAAAGCAAAAAATTACCCTAATAAAAAATATATATGTTTCTTCACAGATTTTGCCCTGAATTACCAATCAAAACTTAAAAAGCATCCAAATAGCCAACAAAAGTTTAAAAATTTCCTGTAGGCAAATGTTCCACCATATGACAACTCATCTTCATCTATTGATTGGAAGCTTAAAACTTATAGCCAAGAGATAGACATGTTTGAGATGTTACATCATATGCGCGTTTGAGATTTAAATTCACACAAAGTTCGGAAAAAAAATTTACATCATCCACTATTTGATATTGACAAAGATTTTTTTTTGGGACGACTTTTTTACAGCTTCTTAAAGCAGTTTTTTTTTACTAAAAATTTGTTTTACGAAGCAATAAAAAAGTCGTCCCAAATGAAGCCTAAGGCTATCAAGCAGCAGCATAGAGATACCACATATACAGGATGGAAGAAGATAATTAGACTGTAATGTTTGAACTATATATGCATGTTTCTAGCATTTAGAACCAACCTGCAATCACATTTGCACCAGCATCTGAAGAGGTATATATGTTTGCTATGTGTGTATATATACATGCAGGACTTCAGTAAGTCCTGTAAGAAACTCACAACGGAAAACAAAAATCAGCTATAGACGAATCAGATAAAGAACACAGAAAAGCTATTGCATTGCTATTAATTACCTTTCATAATCATGTATTTGATGGAATCTATACTCTTTGAGGGGGTTTGTATTGCGTTGCCCTTTTTAATAGGGACTGGTACTCTGAACTCCTGGACCACTCATCTATTTCTCGAGCACGGAAAATAGGCAAAGGGTGGGATAGCTGGCTTGTTTGAGCATTCCTGAAAGCCCCATTAATTCTTAGATTTTATTATGATGGGAGCGATTAGGGGTGTCAATTTCAAAGTCCGGGTTCGGGTCAAACCCGAAATTGATCTGACACTATTCAGGTCAACCCGAACCCGACCCGTTTTTATAAACGGGTCGGTTTTCCGGACCCGAACCTAACCTGCTTCGGGTCCGGGTCAACCCGACACGACCCGAATGACCCGATGCCAACAAAAAAATAGTAGTTTTTGGGTCCAAAAATAGGTCAATCACAACTTTTCGGGTAAAAAAAGGGTCAATCTCATGTTACTGGGTTAAAAATGGGTCAATTTCGGGTCAACCCGAACCCGACCAGATTTTTGAAAAAGGGCGAATTGTTGAACCCGAACCCGACCCGTTTCGGTTTTGGTTGACCCTAACCTAAAATTTGGATTTTCGGGTCATGTCAAATATTAACACCCCTAGCAGTGATGGATGCCATGATGAATGATACTAACCTTATGTACCATCCAAATGGGCTTGAAGAAGCCTTCTCATATGATCGAGCTTGTTCCAAGAATGCATCAACATTTAGCTGGTCTGAAAGAGAAGGCGATCCTCCGGCGAGTTTCATCAGAACAGAGATGACAACCTCTTGGATGGAAATATAAAAACTATCAGATATGTACATGAAGTATATGAAAGAGGTTGATGTACGCAACACTGGTATTTCAAATGGGCTATTTTTTTGGGAATTCTCATAGTACAGAAACGACAAATTTCAATTAGGTTGAACAAATAGTATGATGTACCAACAGCAGTTGCTTGCAGACTTCTGAATTTTGCTGAGAAGTCGGCAAGTTGGTTCCCTCTCTTGTGATGTTCACCACTTAAAACTTCTCTAATTCTATAGCTATGTATTTTTATATATGATGTAAAAAAATTACATGGTTCATTGGTAAGTGTACAATTGTCAGTCTCAATGAAAAAAGTTGAAGTTTGATGTTTGGTCCATAGCCAAACATAAAACTTATATCAAAAGTACTGAAATGAATACTACAAATAGTTGGGATAAGGCCATGTCAATCCCTCTCTCAGCACCTTTATTTTATTTTAATCGTGTGCAAGCCTAGAATTAAGCAGATTCAAGTCTAGCTCCCCGATAGAAAACAGCCACGGAACATAAGAAAAACTGCTGAATTTCAGAGAAATTCAGCAATAACGGTGCAGCTTTCACAAAAATCTGTAGGAAAATTGGGAGAAACACACTTGAAATTTAATAAGAGAAGGAAAAGACAAACAAATACAATGAATCTTCAATTCGAGAGGAAGATTCAGCTCTTCAAATCTCTAACCCAAGCCTAGAGCCTAAGAACAAATCCTAGATCTCAAATTCAGATTTTACAAATTCAAGATGATCCCAAGCCCGTAACAAGAGAGACTTAACTAAAACAAAAGGAACATTACATAATCCCTAAACAGCCCCAAACTCAAATTTTCCCTCCCAAACAATGTTTAATTAAGGCTTGGGCCCCACCAAAGCTTCCGCCCCCCTCCTACTATCCGCCCCTCCCTATTTGGGTCAGCAGGTGTAAACCAAAACTGGTCTAGGTTCGACCGATTCAGATCTAACACTCGCGCAACTTGGAAACCAAATAGATTTCAAGTTTAAGTCAAACAAAACTCAATTTTGGGTACAAGTCAAGTTCAACTTCCTTAACTCGACCAAATATAGGTCTTGCTTATAACGAGCTTCCATAGAACGAATTCATGAGTCAAACCACAAATCTATAAGGATTTTATTTAGTCAAAGAAAAAGCAGAGTCTAAACCAAAGGTTAGATAGACAAAGGTGCACGCTAACATATCAGCATTAATAAATTAATTACCCAATTGAATCAAAACAATGTATTACTGTAGCACAATACCTATTTAAAGTTAAGAGTGTTTTCTCTATCCTAAAGACCCCAAATCTCCCAAAATTTTCCCCTCCACATGAATTGTAATGAACTTACCTTTTTCTTCTTCTCCATAGAACGGTCCATGCAGGGAATAAGCTATTATTTAAGGTGTCGAGTGATTCAATAAAATAACAAAATTGATCCTTTTACAGCAGCTACGTCAATTTATACTTCCCCTAGCAAAACTCTTCAAGATATATGAATAACATGAAGATACACTGGAATGGAGATCGACATACCTTCGGATCTTGAGCAACAAGAAGTGCAGCTCTATCGCAAGTTAGTTCAGCGGCTCGAAGCCATCTCAATAGCTGTTCTTCCAGCCTCTGAGCTATAATCCCACCAAAGCCTGAGAATATAAACGTCATAGTATTAAAGCATTACTTGCATATAAACAAGCTTAATTTTATTCAATTCCTTAATAAGTAATAAAGAAGGATGTAAAGGGCCCACCAGGTACACTGTAAGCTCCAAGTGTTAAGATGTTCGCAAAAGTGAGCCACACGCCATGGTCACATTTCAAATGACCAAGTTCATGAGCCAAAACAGCCTACAATACAAGTCAAACCTAAACGGGTATGAGTAAAAAAAATCTGCTGCACATCCATTGCGTTGACCAAAAACATGTAATGTTCAAACTGGTACCAACGATGACAAAATATTACTCAATAACCAGGAATTCCTTCTTTTATTCTTGAGAAAGTATTCTTACTTTTAAAAGTAAATTAGAAAAAACAATCCAAAAAGTAAGATAAGAATAATATACTTAATCTACCATAAAGGTGGATAGAGATTTGTCAGCCTTCTGTTAGCCACTCAATTATCAATACTAAGCACAGATGCTTTCTAGAAACTTACACTCCTTTTCCATTATCTAAAAAATATTCTTCTTTCCTTCATGTTAGAACGAAACTGGAAACGAGATAGAAAAAAAAAAGAAATAAAAAGAATGGATACTTTGATTTATCAAAGAATTGCCTTGAACATTGGCTCTCCTATTCAAGGGCTTTGACCTTCCTCTTGTTGAAATCTCAACAAGTTCGTTTCTTTAAAGAAACTCTTTTTCTATTTCTCTTTTGACCAAGAAATAATGAAAGTGAAAGAGAAAGAGAAAAAAGCCAATTGATCAAGATCCTGCAACCCAAAGATTATAAAAAAATCACAAAGAGTTGGATTTCTCCCAAGGGGTACTTGGGGATCCTTCAAAAGAAAGAGAGGTAAAGGGTTAATAGATGGCTAAGTATACTGATAGCTCAATCATTCAAATGTAAACTCTATACATGTTAAGGTGTTGACTTAAACCTAAATCATGACCCTAAACTTTGTGACAAAATCCCTAAATCTTAACCAAACACTACGTGACTAAATCCCTAAATGATTATGATTGGGACCCTCTAAACCAGGTGGTTTGCCACCAAATGGCACCCCTAAATTACGGTCATGGTCATAAACCATATGCTCATCAATGACACTAAATATTTGAGATATGAATCAAAAGGATATGCTTGATAGGGGGCAAAGCTCTCTATTAGCTAAGGTGGATTCAAATTTGTCCCCTTAGATAAACATCCACCCTAGGTCTACAAGGTACCCTTGGACAACGCAACTCATGGTTGCCAACAATGATCCTCCTGTTAGATTGGGTCGGCTATCTCCTCTGACTAAGTAGACCAGGGACCATGATAGCCCGGGACGACGGAACCATAGGATCTTGATCGGGTCCATCCATTCCCCCACCATCCGCTTTAAGAGCAAGATGGTAAAATTCAAAATTATAAATATAAAATCTTCAAACACCTAAACTCATGCTGCTACTATATGGCAGATACACGCATCTCTATGTATCTGATAAAGGACTAGACTTAATCGAAAGTTCTCTCTTGTTATGCCAGACGTACGCACACAAGAAGCACGAGATACACTCTCTTCCGCTCAGCTGGGAAGAAATGCACACATGAAGGAACCACTCCACCCACTCGGCTAGAAAGAAGAAAGCATAAGGCTGAAGCTCGAACAGAACCGGAAACTCTCTCTCGCTCGCACTTCACTGGCACTAGATAGATGCGAGAATGCATAGCCTCTAATTCCCTCTCTCGACTTTTCTCTATACTTGAAACGAGTCTTTGTTGGTGGATTTCGTATACCCGGAAGATTAGATATCCCGCTAAATTGCCTGCAAGATTTGACGGGAAGCAACGCATGTTGACATCCAAAATCGAGGAGATCGAAGACTTTGATTTGATTTCCTAATTTGGAAAGTGAAATGAGCTAAGATTGGAACAATTGGGCTTAAATTGAGCCCGAATTAGACTCGATTTGGATCAATTTAGGTCTATTTGAATCCCATTGGGTACGATCGACTCAATTTTATAAAATTGGACTTGAATTGGTGTCGAATTGGGCTCGACGAGGTTAATTTTGGTTCGATTTGGACCGATCATGATCGATTTGATTTCAATTGGATTAAATCGAGTTTGATTGGACTCAATTTAGATCTGATTTGGGTCAATTTTGGTTTGACGATGCTCGTTCGAGTTGATCGAGCATAATTGGGCTCAAATCTGCTCAATCGAAGTTCGGTCGACACAGAAAATTTTGTCAACAAGAACACATTTCATTCTAATATGATTACATTATAGGTATATATTGCAATGATGTAGATAAGAAAAACAAACTAAAATAATGCCAAAACCCAGAATGTCAATGTACTCATCTCAAGGCTCACACTGTGTATTTATGATGAGTATAAGCTTTCGACTTCTTCAAATGGACTAGGATGGAATTAGAATAATTGATTAAGCCAGATAAAATCAGTGGGACAATCAAATCAATGCCCCACAACTGAGACAAAAAAAGAAATAGCAACTAATTCTTTAGTTCCGCACATGATAAACAAATCTATGGTTTAAACCATAGAATGTAGAAGCTAGAACGAAAAATACCTGCAACTCCTTTCTGCTAAGAAGCTCAACAAGACTTGTATGGACAACAATGAAGGGTTTCTTGCCACCGATTGCCAAAGTATATGCATTTGGGACAGGATTTTGACGGAGATACAAATCAGGAGGTTCTATATTTAATACTTTGGCAGCCTCAAGCAACAGCTGATAAAGATCAGATAGCTGAGAACAAACATGATAACTCCAAATCAATAATTAGTGCTAAAAATAGCTAATAGAACAGGAAATCAAGTAAATCCAATGAATAAAACACAGCTTCTCACTAAGCAGCACCATATTCTTAATGCCAAGATCAAACTATTGATGTTCTTGGATAAAGTCGTGCTCACTTCTCAGCAGTCTAATCACTTGCAATAATCGTGAAATGCAAAACCATATTTTGTTAAAAATATATGGAGAATTGTAAGCAATAATTGTGAAATGCAAAACCATAATATCATGCTTTGGTCCAACTAAGGTTTTGTTTGGGACAGGACAACTTTCTTAATGCTTCTTAAAATAGCTTTTTAGTACCAAAATTAAAAATTTGTACTAAAAAGTTGTTTCAATAAACAGTAAGAAAGCCGTCCCAAATGAAGCCTAAATGAGATTCTCCAGCTATAGTAGGAAACTACGTGTTTTTACAATAAGGATTTAGTTATAATGAATATCTGAATTTATAAGATTTATTCTCTCCAAAAATTATGAAGAATTCTGCTTTTGGATGAAGCAAAAAAATAATTCAATAACCTTATAAATGATTCTTACAATCATACATATGATCACATATCCTATTATTATCAATAAAATGAGCCGTATCATATTGAGCCATGAAGAATATAGATATCATTTTCATACATTATATGATGGTTATGCAATCGATTCTACAATCAATTCCATTTCAAAACAGTCTCATCATAATGATAGATCTTATTATACTCTAGTTTTTCAAACTCCACAGTTTCAAAAGCCTTTGTCAATTCTATTTGTTCTAACAATTGGGCCACTTCCATAAGCTCAAAAATATAATCCACATGAAGAATTTAGTTATGAAGATTATCAATACAATGGTATAGGTTCTATGTATGAACTTGATAATGATGATCAATCATTAATAATAGAGCGTCTTGGTAATTCTAAATTCAAGCACAAAAATTTTAAATGGTGCACACATTTATTAAAGAGACTAAGATTGAAATATCCTCTACTGCAATCATTATTGATATGAAGAAACACATAAATCCGCATATTTTAATATTCTTGTAAGATTCTTCGTAAGAGATGGAAACAATTCCTCAACTTTAAAGATTATTGTTTGCTTCCTCACCATCAACACAGGTTAATTTTGTATTACAAATGCCTCTACCATGTCAATATGACTGCAATATTTTATGCAAGATGTATGATGCAATGTGTTGACTAATTCCAAAGCCACCAAATTCTACTCCTTATATCCAGTTTGCACATGCTGACGTCAAGAGATGATCTTGAAGTAACTCCGCCTCCACCATGGACAACAAATTTTCCAGAAAATATCTTCCATGTAATTCTTTAGGAGAAGAGTTCTATGATACATTATATTAAAATAAGTTTAGATTCTTTTGGAATTATTTAATTTTAATCATTTAACTAGAGTATCTGAATTTATTAGATTTTTATTTTAATTGGCAAGCATTGTCCATTAAGTTTAAATTTGAATTATTTAGTATAAATTCAATTTTTAATTTGATTATATTTAATTTTAAATTATTTGACCTTAGCTTTGTAACTCTAATAAAGAGGGCTTTATGGCTTGTAAGTATGATTTATTATTATATTAATTGAATTAATTCTCTATCCACTCTTTTATAACCAATAGAATTTAAATTCTTTTTTCTTTTCTTTAAATTACCAGCTCCATGTTATCTGATTTTAGGGTTTCTAAAGAATGGGCCAAAATGAGAATGGCTTCAAAGAAATAGCATGCTACTTTTAGCACTTCGAGATGAACTATAATAATATAGTGTACCAGATAGACCCTAATAAGGTTTAAAAAAAATCCTAGAAATAAAAAATTGTTTAAAGAAAACAATCCCTAGACAGATGGCAATACGGAGAAGATCAAAATTGTTTAAAGCACTCACCAAACCAGAGGAACAACTTGTTTCATAACAAGGAGGATGGACTATTCATATTTCATTAGATGCTAAGCGACAAATTAAAAGTTAAGCCATGATGTTTAAGAAAACAATCCCTACTGTGTAGTGAAGATTCCAGGTCAGGAAGTATTCAGAAGTTGTAAAAATGCAATATCCCTTCATGAGGAGCCTTACCCGCCCAATAAAAAAAACTTAACACCTTGCATTTATATGTTTCAAATCCAACTTCAAAAGATGATTCCCATACTGCTTGTTCAAGTATTGTTTACCGGCGCTACATAACCAACATGATTAATTGGCATTTCTCTTAATTAAGTTCTAGATAATACATAATCTTAATAATAGCAATACCGTTGGCTACAAGTGAATAGTACACAGTAATCTCGCTGCAACTAGAAGATGAAGGTGTCTTCCCACACTTTTTTTGTTAATATTGTTTACCGGCACTCTGGAGCCAACATCATTAATTGGTTGTCCACTTATTTCAGTTATAGATAATTCATCTTAATTATAGCTATGCCCATTGACAACAATGAATAGCACACAGTAATCTCGCTGCAACAAGAACCTGAATGTTTCAAGTTTCTCATGTGCATTGGTCTCCATTAGGAAATGCTTACGGCTGGTAGTTCCCTCTGAACGAGCCTGAGAGTTTTGTATGTAGCAAATCATGGCAAAAAATATAAATAATAAACAGGGATTAAAATTAGTGTAGGAACACTGAAATTTTCCTGTTTTAGTCAGTAATGTTTAAGGAAATAATTTTTTTCTATTGATAATGAGAGTAGGGGGAACCTGTTTTTCTGAAACAAGCACAGACGTTCCTATATTTTCAAAAAACAAAACCTGCTCTGCAACTGGACCTAAAAAAAAATTGTTCTTCAGACTTTTGCGCACCACATAATGATCAATAAAAATAGAAAAAAAAAATTCGTGTTCAAGAAGTAGATATCGCCTCTACATACAGCAAGCACATTCTTTATCCAAAATATTGAACAACTTAAAAAAACCAATTTGAACAAGTCACACTGAAAATGTGAAGAACAAGCTAAAATTCAAATAACACAATATTTGAATATTGAAAAAAAAAATTTAAGCGTTAATAACATTTCATATGTTTGCTTACCTCGAACAATATGTAACAAGCTACAGAACAGAGGTCTTTTAGAGAACTGTCATGTCAAAACTAATGAGAATATATATATATATATATATATATATATAACCATTATATTCCTTCAAGATAAAAGAAAAGTGGAGATATCCCATGCCGCCACATCAACATGATTCAATCTGACATCATTCTTTTGATGCATGTCAAGCTTTGTTCAAAACGCTTCTGCAATTCCTTAATAGAAGTACTCTAAGCTTTAACATTTTTCTTTATTTTGTGATTGATTTAAGGGTCATTTGGTGGAGGCCTTCTCATGCTTTATTTTTAAAAAATAATCTTGGTTCATGTGAGAAATATGCTCAAAAAATCCCCACTTTAAGCATGCGCAGCATTACCAAGCGTGGTCATAATCTGCATAGTTCTCTTTATTGAAGAGTGATATATTGTAACGAATGGATTAGAATTCTTAGTAGTTATGCATATGAAGCAAAATCAAGGCTACAACACATCTAATGTTACTCTATTAAGGTTTGTATCCCTAAAAATCCATAGTATGCTGCGTTATGTTTATCTTCATTGTCAGAGTATAAGCTGCATATTGAAGATCAAGTAATGTAGAACAACTAACCTAGATTTAATTAAATTGAAAGGACAGAAGCCAGAAGGCATGGGCTTAACTCTACATTTTCTCAGCCATAATCAGGGCCATTTTGATTTAAAGTCCATAGGCAGGTTAATAAAGTGCTAATTGCGCATAATTAGCATACGCTAATTAACCATATTAAACATGTGCGCAACTATATTTCAGTTCTAATATTATCAACAAGCTTGCAATGCTAGCTATGTTTGGATAGCCATTTGGGAGAAAGGAGAAGTGCCAGGTAGGCATGACAGAGGAGGCGAAGAAGGATAAAAGATATTATAACTACAATGAAATGAAGGAGATTAGCGGGAAGCAATGGGAAGCAGTCCACTGATGGTGTCGATTAGGCAACTAAAGGTGTACACATGACTGGACAAACCAATTGATTTTGATTCGGCAGCTTCTACCATAGGAGTGGAGTAGTGGACAGACCAATTGATTTTGATTTGGCAGCTTCAATCATACAAGAAGCCATATTAATTGAAATTTGATTCATAACTAAACCTAGCCTAACCAAATGAACTTTGATCAGTTGAATTAGATTGGCTTTGCCAAAATTACAATTTTTTTATAATTTGCATCTCAGACAAAAGTACTATTCATAGCCCAAGTTAAGCTAAAAATTTCAATATTTGAACAGAATTCTGTATTCTCAAGCCTAATTTGTTATATAAAATTGAACATTCTTTTACAAATCAAGTGCGTGTGTGTGTGTGTGTATATATATATATATATATATTGTGAGAGCTCGTTCCTTTGTTTTTCTCTTTTCTGGATCTGATTTTTCCTCCCAGGATCGTCCAGGCCGATTTTGGATCGTCCTGAGACGATCAGTGCATGGCAAAATCCCGAGAGCAAGGGTTTTTGACAATTTCTATCTGTCTACCCCTTTCCATCCTAATCCTCCAACATTAATTTTGTCAACTCATTTATAGGAGACATTTTTTTTTACTCAATCATAAATGTCCAAAACATCTAAAGTCTATTACGTCATCCGGTTCGACCCCGATTCGACCGGTTGAACCGTAAATCTCTCATTATTTCAGTTCGTTGTCCGGTCCGATTTTCACAACCTTGGGTGTCACTCCCATATTTTCTCTAATGTACTCATTCATTACTTTATCCTTTCTAGTTTTGCCCTACATCCATCCTAACATTCTCAATTATGTCACACTTAACTTAAATATCAATGAATTTTTTACAGCTCAACATTCAAATTTATAAAATATTGTTAGCCTAATTGTAATTTAATAAAAAAGACCTGTAAGCCTTCATGATAAACAAAGCATCGAATACAATTCTCAATTTTAACTATCTAGACTTAACTCTGAAAATTATATCATCATCTATATCTTAATTATTCTATATCACACATAAGTATCACCTTTAAGTAATATTAAATGATAATTGTACAAATAATACCTAATTAAAATTCTATATCATACATTCAATTTTTCTCAAATGATTCTAAGAGCTCTATTTTTTAAAGACTTCCTCAAAACATTCTAATTTTTCACTTATTTTAATGAATATCTCACAAATTAAAACTAAATCATTTCCAGAAAAAAATAGATAACAAGGCACCATACTTCAAAAAATCTCTATAAGCATCTTCATGACCAATACAAAAAGATATGGACTTAATACTGATATTCGAAGAAAACGTACGATAATTGGAAACACTTGAGGGGGCACTTCACAACCACTTATAAATTATAATGATTGTTAGTGCACCATCATATATATCTGTAATAACATCAACATATTTTTTAAACACAATTTTATGTCTTAAAGCACGCCAAATCAATTTCTATAGGAACTCAATCATAATATATCTTCCCAAGATCAATAAAAATCATATGAATATATTTTATTTGTTCTCTATTGTAAAACCCGAAAATCCTATTTTAGGCTTCGCACGCTTTTCAAAGCGCCGCAACGAGGTTTAAGTGAAATTTTCAAGGTTATCGGAATGCAACGAAATTAATTTTAGAAAATCCTACACGAAATTCTGATCGTTTTGGTATATATGGTATTTTATAGGGAAGTTCTTATACCAAATTTTGCCTAATTAAAGAGTTATATTTTAGAAGTCCATAAATACCCATTTTTACCTCACTTGTTTCTAAGACGAATTTACTTAAAGGGCATTTTGGACTTTTAGCAAACCTATTTCCTTAATAGGATTAACCGAGCCTTTCCCTTCTCATTTCACGCAACGACGCGGACCGAACGGAGAGAGGGAGCGGACGGGCGGCGGACGGCTTCCGCGAGGGGCATTTCGGCGCGATCTTCCGGCGAGAACTTTACGTCAAATCGAAGAGGACGACGAGAGGATATACTCCGGTATACTTTTCGAACGAAACCTTTTAATCTCCTAGATATTTTTGGAAATGAAATCTTTTAGGAATTTTTAGGATTTTGAATTTCTTCGAAATTCTTTTCACTAATCTTTAAGAAATTTTAGAGGAAATTGTTTTAACGTTAAAAACTTAGAAGATTTGAGCTTTTGGAAGATTTAGAAGTGGGTTTTTGAACCTAAAAACCTTAATTTTGTAGGACACCTTTTATGAAAATGAATTCCTAAGGGTTTAGGAGTGTTTTTAAAGAAATATTTAAGTTTTTTAGCGAAACTTTATTTTTCCTTAATTTTTAGATATTTTAATCCGAAAATGACTTAAGGTAATTATTAATTATGTAAGGGAAAACTTTGACATGTGATTTGATGGATTAAATGAATTTAGGGTTTTCCAAAATTTAGGTATTTTATTAATCCGAAAATAAATATTTATTTAAATGTCGTATTAAAAACGTTAAGGAAATATGATTGTTTAATTGATTATGTCTTTTTTGGAACCATCTGATGGATTCTAATCGTTAAGGGAGGAAAGACCTTGTGAATGCGACGAAATTGTGCTTATAAATTTGAGGTAGGTGTTCAGAAACAGTTTAAATTATAATATGCTTTAATTCTTTAGTTCATTTTAAATCATGTTTTATTCAATTGAATTATGTTTTAAATTCAGTACACTTTTGTAGAGTTTATGTCTTTTATTTGATTCATTCTTTTGTTATGCATACATCAATAAAGGAGACATATTTGGGCATGAAATTATTATGAAAGTTTATGAAAGAAATTTTATTTGAAA